ACTCACTGAAGTTGGCGCAAAATGCCACGATCAAATGTTTCTAAGTTATGGATTAGCGCCAGCTGGCCAGGGTCAGCTCGCTACAGTAGAGTATTTATCTCGTTGTTATCATACAGGAACTTCAATCGAGAAAAAAAAGGGCGGTCCAGTCGGCGATCAAGCCGATAAGGCAGTACCATCATTGATAAATAGAGTCAATCTAGCAAAAACAAGAGAAGGCAGTATTTTTCTTACTCGAATATATTACCACAATGCTTTAGAACAGAAATACAATCAAGCCATCTGCGGCGCCAGGGCAAAAATTGAACAAGTTTTTGGGATTCAAAAAGGCAAGTGGCTCATATAACATGGCAAAACATGGCATGAGCATTTTACATTTTACAGATATCGGTACTATCGTTGCGTTTTTCAGGTACGATTCAGAGACATCGACAAAAATTGTAGCTTGAGCGATCCTTGGCAATGTCGTGAATATGCGAAACGAGCCGACAGTTTTCGAAGATTTATCTGAAGCAGATGATCACGACGTGCATGAGGATATCGAAGAAGACCCCTCTGCCTCCGAACGTGCACTCGTTGAGCGAATAGAAAATTTTTTACTTTTGATTGATTCTTTTAGCTGATTTTTTGTCGTTTTGATTTCTTCAGTATTTCTACCGGATTACACGTTTACGAGTCTTTACATTCTCATTGTAACCGTCATTCCTTCTTGGAAAAACAATGCGATGCAATTTTTTTATCCGTCTCTCTAATCTGTATTTGTGTTTTGCAATCCCATTAACTCTTGTATGCATTGAAATCAACTGTAAAGGAGTCTGACGGAACAGCTGAGGTAAGTATATCTCTCAGTTAATTGTCTTTGTGGCTAGTCATGTCCGTATATAAGATGAAAGCAATGAAACCAACAAGCAAAATTGTGATCATTTGTCTGATTTTACACATTCCATCCTGCTCAACTCCATGGCGGAAATGCTCATATTTTGTTGAAAACAATTCTATCGAAATGCAGCAGTATGTTGATCTGACTTAAACCTTTTTCTGGTGATTTGTGGAATTTTGAAACTATTCGGTATTTCTGGAGCACTGGAGCACCTCGCTTTTCATATACATGTCAATCATGCGCAATAATTACCAGCGAGTACTCACGGTTGGTGGCTCCATCTATTCTTTTGCATACTACTTTCTCATACTATTTACGTAGTTTCATCACGTTCAGCGTCGCTTTTGCATCTTCCCGTCCTTCTAGGATTTAAATACGCGTGTTGAATATCTGACGTTTAATCTTTTTACAATCGTTTATAGGTGTTTCTACCCGAAAATGTTTCCATCTGTGAAAGTACTGTAAAATAGCGTCGCAAACACCACTTTAACTGTATTGAACATGCTATCAAAGGAGGACGTGCAAGTGAGTCTAATCCAATTGCATTGATTAGAAGGGATAGTTGGCTCAGGCTCCCATTCATCCGATTTTTAGAAGAAGTTTCAATCATATGTTTCAGGTAACGTAATTGTTTGGTTGTCTCTGATCCTTGGTTAGCCGCTCAAGATTTTGATGTACATGCAAGACCGTTATGACATGCATCAGACAAGAGCAGGATCCAACTTATCTCCTATCTTGAATTTCGTTCCCATACGCATAGAATTTTGTTTTGCTCTTAATATCTCATAGAGTGTATTTCTTTCCAACCACATCAGTGTTCCTCTTGTTATTCCTCAATGTTCTTTCTACGTTCCCCCATTTCCCGCAGTTATGCCCCCCCCCCCCGTTTCCCGCAGTTATGCCATATATGGTTCATTTTTAAAATCGTGACGACAAGTTTGACTGCGGTCTTTACCACACAGGAGCTCAAAACACCCATATAAACAGGCATCACCTCAGCGCTCAGCTCAGGCACTTCCAGTGCCTGAATACTCTCATATGTAAGCAGGAGCACCAGTTGAGCAGAGATAAAAACCGAGAAGTGCGGGTGCGTGCGTGTCGCGCGCGGTCGCGCCATCGTCACGATTTTTCAAATGCCCTTTACCTAATTTCTCAAGTGTGATGCTGAGCGTATTCCAGGCTAGACTCATCTCCTCGTGTTTGTTTGCGTGTATGTGTTTCTTCTTATTGCATTTGTTTAGTTTGATACAGAAAATGCCATTTGTGTAATCAAAGTTTGGCACATATAAACGGATCGAAGCATAGGTAACGTAACTTTGTAACAATATCGGACAAGACGTTCTGTAGTATCTGCTAGACAGTAGAGTACATAGGAAAACAAAACATTTACAACTGACAAATATGTGGGATTAGTGGGTATGGACTTTTTTGGCTGAGACTTTCAATAGTGATCATGACATTTTGCATCATGAAAAGCAACTGTACAAATGCAAGTTACTCAGACAATCACAGGCTCTCAGCCGGCAGCCACAAAGCCACTGCGAAAACCCACCAAAAGCGCGGCAGCCTCATCGCCTCACTGTCGCTTCCCGCTAAGAACCGTGTCAGAACTGGCAGCGAGCGGGCTGCTATAAAGCCTTCACCGCGAAGCGAAAGCGGCGGTTTCGCTTCGCGGTGAAGGTTTTATAGCAGCCCGCTCGCTGCCAGGTCTGACACGGTTCTCAGCGGGAAGCGACAGTGAGGCGATGAGGCCACCGCGCTTTTGGTGGGTTTTCGCAGTGGCTTTGTGGCTGCCGGCTGAGAGCCTGTGATTGTCTGAGTAATGATTGCCTTTCCCTTTCTCTTCAACGTCCTAAAGATTAAGGAACTTGCGGGATGAGGTAACATTTAGAAAAATCGTCCACTTTCCAATTCGTTGTGTCCTGCTATTGCCAAAAAACCCAGACTTATACAAAGAACGCTTTTCTTGCATAAATTACAGTTTGAATCGTAGACGTGTCAAAACTAATAAGCTGCAGTGCCCACTTTCTTAGCACTGTTGTCAAATGCTTCACCGAAACGTTTGTGGTCGAGATGCATATATCTTCCATCAGATGCCTGTCACACACAATGCACCCCTTTTCTCTCTTCAATTCTGAACGATGCCTAGCCCTCTTTCCCAAAATTGCTTCGTTCAATTTTGAAAGTCGCCAGCATAGCATCCTTCTCAATACGCTTTATGGTCATAAAGTATCTCCAGGTAAGGAGGCATCGTTCAGACCGCGCCGTTACCCGTTCAAACCCGTACGATTCCACCTGAACCCCTCTGAATCCGTTCAAACCCGCTTGTACCAGAGTCTGCCAAATGAGGGAAGCAACGGAGATATGCCTGGAGATTGGCATATTTCAGCACGTGTAAAATGCCGTGCGTTATGCAGATAAGATTATGAAAATATAACACATCTCCGTTGTTTTCTCATTTGGCAGGTTCCAGCGCGTTGCGGTTCAGGCGGTTCGGGTTCAAGAGGGTTTGGATGGGTTTCGGTGCGGTTTGAATGCCTAAGAGCGAGCTTTGAATTTCACGGTAACTATCCCCTTATCCTCCCAAACAATCTAACCAAAGTGCTCCATCCTAGTTCCGCAAAGGCTTCGCATGCCAAAACCCTAATCTATCTTCCAGATAGTCCTTCTGTCAGGTTGCCCCCAATTTTCCTCTACCTAAGCCTTCATAATTGTCGTGAGGTTTCTCCCTATAAAAATTTTACCATAGCGGCCGCTCTTCCTCCTTTTCAAGTCTACTGAAACGTCCATAATTGCTTCCTCAAATTATGTTAGAACTTCAAATCATTCCTACAAAGTCATTTCAGCGGATGCCCACAGCTCTTCCCTCCAGAACTGCTAGGTATAATCTGTTTTGATATGAGTGTCACAGCTCCAATAGTTTGGGTGCGAAAGTGCCCGCAGCATTCTACACCATTGACTTTCCAAAGCCAAAAGTTTTGCTTTACAGATTTTTGGAGCGAAGGGGGTAAGGGGTGGAGAAAGATTGTCCCTTCTTCTTCTTATTCAAAATATTAGCTGATGATTGATAGCCCAAGTGTCCTGCCCAAAGTGCCCGAGCGGCAATTTTTACCACTCGTCATCTTCGTCTAACATTAACAGAAACCTTTCCGCTATTTCCGCGTGAGGTAGTACGGTTATCGAGTTTTCAAAGTGGTGCCTTTATGTTTGCACATTTGGAGAAAAATTGTCCATCGGACGAAAGACACGGATAACTCGGCATCAAATACTTTCTTGCAACCCATATTTTTGAGGCTGGACTTTTGCCACGATGTTTGTGCCATTTTTAAGCAGGTTCTGTCCGCATAAACCCCGTATTAAGAGAACTTTATGAGGAATAAAAAATATGCAGAGGACTTGTTTTTACTTGTAAATAATTGAAAAACTTGAAAAATTTTCAAAAATTCAAATTCTTGTAAAGAAATTTTTTCGGGGCGTGGCGGAAGCCCCTTTTCTGAAATTTTGGGGTCAGAAGAACGGAAAAATTTTGGGAAGCATCCGAAAAAAATTTTTGTCGCTCCCTTCCCCCCCCCCCCCCCATCGAGCTGCAATTCTGAGTGCGCCACTGAGAGGCTTATTGGATGTACTTGAAGCAAGGGAAACGCCTAATAAAGCCAACTGATTGCTGAAAAAGGACGTCAGTATCTATTAAGAAGTGAAATAGCGGTAAAAATGGGAAAAAAGGTAGCGCTTTAAGACACTTGCATGTACCTAAAGGTGCTTGATCGATCCGCAGGCGCGTTCGCTGCGGGAGCCACGCGATTTCGCGCTATCTAATCATTTTTGAGTGCAGATAACGATTCTTTCTATATCAGATTAGATCTTAATTTTTTGCTCGGTGCATTGAAGAGAGAACACTTTGAAAGAAGTTACACGTATGGGGTTGAAACATTTTGAATGTGATGTGTGATGTTCTTAAAGGTATTAAAAGTCCAAATATGTGACAATAGGAAGATCTAGAAACATCAGTCATTACAAAATCATCGATAGGTTATTAGACGCTGCACTTTTTCACTGTTGCGTTCCATGTGAGTGCTTGCAATTTAAGCGACTGCCTCGAGGCTCAATTATCAGAACGCAAATGCTTCGGCCATGCATCACACTTGTTGTAAGTCACTTATTTGGATATGCTAAGGACCTTTTTTCTTTATTACAGCTCGTAAAACTGTGTCTTCCCTATGACACGCCAGCAGTAGATCACTGCGGTCTTTCCGATGAATGGGAGGAAGCGTTGTTCAGCGCCGCTGTTTTCGACTTTTTTGGACCAGCAAACCCAGGAGTTGCATTGGACATGGTAAGCCGCTGCACTCAACTACGAATGGAAGCGTTTATTCTCTGAGAAAAGTATCAAAGTATATGCATCAGTCACAAGGAGATTTTTATTATTTATCATCACTTCAGAAAAGAATTCGAAGTAGTGCTGCTTTAGGGTTATAGTTGGTCATACGAACAAAAAGCATACGCCATTGGTAAGAGAAGAGACAGCCCCGACCGCAAGCAGAGAGGCTTATGGTACGGCTACAATAAGTGAGTGATGCTAAACTATGAGTACAAGTCAACTTTTCAATTATACTAATCATAGTAAGAGAACTCCCCCTAACGAAATCGCTGCAGACGCGTTTCAGGCGTGGAGGAAGGAACTAAAAGGAGTGAGTTTGCATTATGCTTTCCTGCACCGATGTTCGATTATTGTTTGTGCGCAACCTTTTTCCTGCTTTTTGTTTCAAAAAGTGGTTTGCAATAGTGCTGAGCTAGGTGACGTTTTTTGTGCCATATCTGTTGTTGAAATAGTAGGTTCGCATTCACTTAAAAAAATAGCTGTCGAATTAGTTAGGATGAAACCTACAATGCGACTGATGCTGAAAGTTCAAGTCAGGATGCAGAGTCATACCCCTGACAAACGCATACTGCATTCCGCTTGTTTGCGAAGTCCATTTTTGGCCTTGATGCAGAGTTTCTTCCCCTTTATAGAGTTATTTTCCAAAAGTAAGCGTGTTGACAAGCACTCAGACATCCCGAAGATCCCCAGGGATCACTGCTTACATCCTGACCCTGTTCGCCTACTCGGAATTTCCATTCAAATCATTCTTTTCCACTGTTTTTATGCTTTTGAAACTCTCGAAAGCAAAACTTCGGCTTCTCTTTGTGATTTTTGAAAAAGTTAACCAAATTATGTCCGATACATACTCAAGAATTATAGATCACAACTATTGAACATTTTGGGTAACAATTAACTCGATTCTTGCTCTCTACTAATATTTGTTTTTCTTTGAACTTTTGTGGGCTTTTGCATTGCATCGTCTAGTTTTTACAGAAAAGATACTGCATTATTATGGCCTTATGCAAAGAGACATACATTCGAATTACTTGGAACCCTAAGTCCAAATTTACTCTCCCTTAATGCTTCGCAGTAATTAAGATCAAACTGAAGAGAGCTGTGAGTATTCTCTAATGTCTCCTCAAAGCCTGCACATTCGCTTTGCGCATGCTTCCAATAATGAGCGTCGCATTTGACTTTGTATCCTCTCTCGTTTAATTCTTGAACGCATTACTCTTGAACTGTCATTTGATTTACAGCAAAACCTTGCTTTTCTCGGCCAGACCAAAGAGTTTTACAGCAACTTTGTTCTAACAATACTTTCCCTGTTGGCGCACTTTTACACTGCTGCTTAGCATGCTTCTTCGCTAATCCCTGCGCCACAAATCTGATCAGGCCGCAGTCACTTCTTTTTTTATTAGTTGTAGAACAATTTCTGTTATGCTTTCTATCCTAGTGGCTATTTATAAAAAATTGCCACGGCATGTAGACAGGGTCAAAAACTCTATTCATCAATACTGTCGCTCTCGTGGTCCGTGTGCAAAGTAGCCACTTTGCAAAACTCCTTTTTGTTTTTGTTTCTGTAACTGAGTTAGCTGTCGGGTAATGAAAGAGAGATCGAATCAAGTGATAATCGGACAGGGCATGATTTATAGCGTTTATCAAATATGAACACTCGTTTATCTGAGCGGTATAAATATCTGTGTGCGTCTCTCTGCAACCACTGTGATTCAAGAAAGCGTCTTCAAAAATCCAAAAAATCAACTCAAAGCTTGTGTTCATTTCTATACAATGCACATATACAAGAAAATTTGAGAAAGTTTGGTCATTTGTTCATTTGGGGCAATTCATGCTGGTGGATAGACTCTGTTGTGTCCTGAGTATGTCGCAAATTTAGGAGTTTCGGGGAACTTGGAGAAAATGAAAAAAAGTGTAACGGAAATCATCCTACAAGCTAATATGAACATCACATATGGTTACAATGTGAAAGTTTCCAAACTGTGCACTCGATGAAGCACCACAAGCAGATAAAGAGAAAGCACAAGCAGATTTCTTAGCTGTTCAATTACTTTTCAGCTTAGCTTTCTCACAGTATATTTTTGCAACTAGGCTCTTTGTGCTGGTAAACACTTTTGCAAAGATAAAGCTCCAGTTGTTTAGAAAAAAAAGATGCCTGTAAATTATAGCTTTTTGTAATTCTGCTGCGCTGTACACTAGGAGAAAAATAATTATTTTTTCGTTAAAAGAACTATCCATGTGGTCTTATTGGTACTAAAATGGTTTTGTGATGTTTACCATTCCATAACTTTTTGTTTTTGGATGTGTCGCAAAGTCAAAAAGAGCTGAACTTGTTTAGCGAATACACTAAAGTAATATGTTTTCAGTTTTCACGACCTCCCATAGAAATTGGATGCTGTAAGTTCGACTACATCAACAGGATAGCAGGATACCTTGTGTGTGTCGTCAGTGCTCAACCAGTCAGAACACTAAAAAATAGGACCGCTACGAAAAGAGGTTCTACGACAGTCCGTCCAAGGCGTTAATAAAGTTTTTTTGACAACTCTATATATTATGCCATCAAGCACAAACGAGTTAGTACGACTTAAGTTATCTACGGTAAAAACTGGAGCAGGTGTGTTTCTTAAATCGTAACACAAACAGCATTACGCGACGACGTTCTTCAAACAACAGATGAGTGGGTTTTGACAGGTCAAGTTTGGTTGTTTCCATCAAAGCTCACTCAGAAAACAAGTAAAGTGACGCTTGTTTTGGTATAATTATTTGAAACAGGCTTTACCCTTTTGCCACTTGCTCGATTTCCTCTCTAAAATGGGTAAAAAACATAATAAAAGCTCTAAAAGGTCGTAGAGAACATGTCTTTCATGCTTCGTATCCCGGCCCCAAAAAACGAACAACATGTTATCTTAACAAATATTATGAGAAGTAAAGTACTACATTTGAGACATAGCAGAAGTTGGCATTGCTTTATAGCGTGCACAGTTGAACCTAATTTTGGTTGACTGGTCTAAATATCCGGTAGAAGATTTTTGCACAATATATGCACTATTGAATAATAAGACGTGTAGAACGCCTGCAGCATTTATCAAAGTAAGTGGTTCGGCTCAGGCTCGCGAAGTAAAACAGCTGTTGAACGATCGTACTTTGTATTGAAGAACATAGGGTGCAAGCAATTGCCAAATGTGTGTAGGAATGGAAAAAGCCTTAGTGATGGAAAACGCATACAAACTTGGAGGCAGAAGGTTTATGAGCAAGAAGAACCATGAATAAAGTATGGCAGTAGAATAAAGATTTATGCCGAGGAAGCCTTTATCACATAAAGTAACTTTAAATACGATAGGAACTTGCTAGGCAGAATGAAGCCACTGAAGTAGAAGAAAAAGAGGAGCCAATATACAGTACATTTGGAATCAGCGTACACTTAAGTTGCCGCTATAATGCACTTTCCTCAGAAGACTTCACGGGAAAGTGCTCATACATTAAGCCAAAAAGAAGTTGTACGGTTACTAATCAAAATCATGCTGAAGCAAACACACCCAACACGAGATTGTTTTTTCAAAGCAAATCCGTCTTGTCTTCAAATCTTCGCAATTGCTCTGTTAAGCTACATATCTATTATACTGTTTGATAGTCCTTCCTTTAATGTCTAAACTTTGTCGCTATCTCAAATAAGCATTCTCCGTTGTTGAGTATTTGAGCCTTGCAGTTGCACTGAAAAAGCATGAAGGTATAAATTTTCAAAACTTGTGGACGAATATTTGGACCAGCCTTTTGACAGAATGTTGACTTACAAGAAAAGCATTCTCAGTCAAAGTGGCTTTTTCAGATGAAATTTATGTAGTTTCAAAGAGCATTAAACGTTTTTAAGACTGTCTTCGGTATCTGCTGTGCACCTCGTGACTCCGAGTTAAGAACGTTTTTAAATCGAAAAAAGTGAACGCGTGATAAGCCAAGTCATCCAAAACGTCTCGGATCAGCCAGTGTTGGTTATTAGGGCATTTTATGCAATGAGTATTTTTTAACTAGTATACCCACACTCACCAGTGCTTGAAGGCAGCCGCTCGGCAGATTCTCGACTTGAAGTTTTTGTGCTTACCTGGGATAATTCGAGGCGCTGATTCCGAAGATCCGCCTTGAAGAGCGCGAAAATGACAAAAACAGCCATTTCCCAAGGCCTCCCACTTTGAATTTGGACGAGTAGAGCACGTCCCTCCATGGCTAGAGAGGCAGAATCGTTGCGGGCCCTCGCAGTTATAATATTGCGGCATGTTCTTTGACGGGTCAGGGAGAATCGCAAGCTCGTCCGCCCGTATCAGAATGGCTTGCACGTAACGGGGTTTTCTAGGCAAGGACAGCATGCTGTGCGCTCGGACCTGCTCTGTTCTCATGTTTGGGGTGCAGGCAACCTTCCATGTGAAAATTTCGGGATATTCGGTTTTAGCGAGCCGCTGCCTTTGCTTTAACGCCGGAGGGACCCTACTGTGTGATTTTATTCAGATTATGCGTTTATTTCTTGTTCTAAAAATACTTATTTGGCGATTAGAGGCTTAAAGCAGATATCAAGAACAGATTTGGAATTAGCGTTTGATTTTTTACGACATGAAATAAGGCTCAACCGAGAAGATCACTTTGACCGAAAAGATCCAATTGCAGGTTATGTGGAGTGACGATTTTCCTTAACATAATTTTATGTCTAGCACTCATTGTGCAGCAATCCGTTCGTTATACTTGATGACGTGCACTGCTTGCAGGTAGTACTTCTCAATCGCTCTCTTAGTACTGGGTAACAAAAGTTGAAGTATCAAACGATCACTAAATGGCCAACAAAAGCGCGGTGCTTCGCTGCTTCTCCATGCTATTGCAAGATATTTGAAATCATCTTATGCATGTTTCCTCAACACCAATTTTATTCTATTGGCAGATCTGCGAGGTGTCAATGAAAATCGACAAGTCAACGTACTTGGTACCTGCTACTAACAACTTGTTGGGCTCTAAAGTCCCACTTTTATCTTTAGATTCTAAGTCAAAGCAACGGTTTCATTTGATCTCTAATGGCACTACCCGCTTTATCGAACTGATGCGCCGCCAAAAATAAAAGCGATTAAGTTGAATTTTCGCTGTTATTTAGATAGTGCACAATGAAAGTGCTATCTTTGCACTAGTCAGTTGATTAGCCGAAATATTTAAATGCCGAAACCTCTCATTTACCGCACTGAAAAAAGTTTTGTCTAAAGAGCTTGGCACGAGGTGGCACCTTGCGATTTCACAAACTAACAATTAGTTTCCTGATCTTGCAAATTACAATACCTTAAAAGAGTCCAAAGTAGTGTGCTTCTAGTACAATCTGGGATGAACGGTGAGAGCGGGAAGATAATGCTTAAAACGCTTTCGTATTAGCGCTCATACTTCTGGGATTGCATCGCGCTACGATGTCAGCCCTCCTTGCCACCTAGCCGGAAAGGTTTGGAGCGAAAAAAGCGTCTACAGTTAGAATTTGCTACAAAGAGTTTCGCACACTGCCTCGGTTTAAGAATCCTCTCACCAAGCGATGCTCAAGCTGCATGCACATAGTCTCATGAACTCAGCTTTCCTCAACCAATTTTAGAAAAACCTTGCGTTAGAAAATTTCTGAAGCTCTGATGTAGAAGGCTCGCACTGCAGTTATTTTCACATCAAGTCTTAAATGCAGCATGGTGATTGGGTGTTGAGGATTGCGAAACCCAGCTTTAGGGCAAGGCGCAAAGAAGTGAAAACTCGATGGAGTTCGTTTTGGTTTATAAAGCAAGGAGCATCGTAAAACATGCTATCAAGTATATGGGCAACCAATCAGACGAACACAAGCTATGTTTGACAAATCAGTTTCCAATATTACTACTCTACAGGCTCAACGATGGCGAACAACAGCAACATAACATGTACAATGTCGAATACTTATGCATGATCCAGGTTGAAATCGGCTTCGCTTTATTTTTATAACCCCATGAATCGCCGTAATTTACTAGTTTTAAAAATTATTAGATTTTTTCTATTGTCATCAAAAAGCAAGGGATTTGTGCCGTTTGTAGCTCACACAGCAATCTACACAACATCAAAAAATGAGTGCGCCAATATCAAAAAGCAAAACGTTATGGACTCAGCTGCCAAACTTCGTTAACAACCTTCATCATAGCAGTCTGAGTCTGCTCTAGCACACTGCGTTCTACAAACTGTTTTTTTGAATTAGCGTACTGCATGATTCAGGACAGAGAGAATTTCCTATTGAGGATTTTCCAAGTCGTCCTTTAAGGAAGTCCATTTGCCAACAATGATAATATTCGATGAATTTTCAACAGCTATTCTCCTCACAGGCTATAAACTAGTTGAATGCCAAATCAAGCATTCATTTGTACTATATAAGCGATGCGTTGATGTTTTCCGACTTCAAGGATTACTGGTTGCGCCCTTCTTCAATATCCTACGTTTTGATATTGAAAACTATACTGATTTGTACTTACGAGCTTATGATGAAGAGTGATTTACGCGTTCCATCGCGACATAAGCGAAACAAGAAAAGGCAATGCTTCTCAAACTTATGACCGTTTTTTGAAAACTTTGAACTTTTCTAAAACTTGCAAAATTCGCCACAAATGTTAACTGAAATTAGTGAATTCTCTATACTATCATTGTCAATCTCTCTGTGTATTTGCTTTGAGGACTGCTTGAGCTTCGCAGCTTCGCACCGGGATTAGTAATTGCTTTATTCGACTGACGTTTCGGCTATATCGCGCTCTTCAGAGTCTGAAATCATTAAATACGTAGGTAATCTATCCCATTGAAAGCCGATTCGGGATTCAGAAAAGACGTTCAACGCGTCAGTAAAGCAAGAGCTACGAAAGTAAAGGCTACTGCATGGGTGAAGGCGCAGAAGCGAAGCGGTATTAGTTGAGCGTGCTCGAACGCAGCGCGCGCGTATTCTCACCGTAAAGAATCCCGCGCCTCATGCGCTCTGCGGCTAATACGGTCAAACCACTCACCTAAAATAGCTGATGATTATGTGTACAGGGTGTCCCAAAAATCTTTAAGCCTAGTATTTCCTCAGCTTCAACTGTACGAAGCAACATTGTCACATGAAATTCAGCACGATTCTCGTAAAGAGCCTACAAAGCCTACAAAATAACAAGGTACACTCAGTTTTCGAAAATCTCTTATTTGGCCTTCACACAAGCCCTCGCACTCCACGAAACGCATGTTGACGTTAAGAATGTCTCACACCTTCTGAAGCAAGCTTTCCAGACTGTTGAAAATTCAGTGTGGAACAGAGCAAGCCTTGCTTTCCATGACTGATCACAAAGAAAAGTCAAAGGTCTTGAGCCGGCGATTAGAAGCACGGTGATGTGAGAAACACGCCTGTGAGTTTCAACAAAAGTGTCACAAGTCCTTGAGAACATCAAGAAAACAGCAATTTTGGTGTGCATAGAATGACTTTGAAACGATATTTCAGTAAAAAATGCAGAGCTTACACCTAGAATTAGTGACTCAAACTGAACTGGGTTGGAGTTTTCAGCTTTCTTGAATTTTCTTCTTTTTGACACGACACTACTTTGAGTGTTTGTATATTAATCCTGCATTAATGAATGAAGGCTACTGATTAGTTTTGCACTGTACATTCTGCTTCAATGGGATCAGGCCGAACAGTCGACGTAAATTTGCGCGCTCGCAGCGCTAGCGGTCTGCGCTGCATATGCGCGCTGTCGGAGAGAGCAAAAGGATTGCAGAGAAAGCAGAGAAGTAGGCCGTGGGCGTAACCGCGAAACCCTAGCGATGCGGACCGCCATGCCAATTTTGGCCTGCTTGGGACTGGGGCAGACTGTAGACGTATAGTGAAGCTAGCTCTACGATATGCAATATGCAATTCAAGAGCTTCAAAGGCAAAAGAGCTCTAGATGTTTGAGTAAAGGGTACGTTAACAATGGAAAAAAAACAAAACCATAGTATTGTTTGCTCCAAAAACAATATTTTGAAAATGTATAGCGCAAACGATATGATTTTCTTAAGGAATACTAGAAACTAGACGTAGGTACTCATACGCAGAATTTGACTGAAAAGCGAGAAATACTAACAAAGTTACCACATTGAGAAGTTCGGCTCAAGGACTTTTGGAACGCCCTGTATTATTCTTTTTACTATGAACTCGTTGGAGTTCAGTAGCATATGTATTATAGTTTATTTTTTCGATAAATGTAACTCATTCTTAGTAAATGTACGTTTTGGTGCTACATATCGTCTTCTGCAGATCCCGAACATTTTGAAAGCAAAGTTACGGGAACTTATCGTTCACTTCTCTTCCGACTATTTAGCAAGGCTTTTGAGTCGTCGTCGTATCTGCTTTGCAATGCTCGCGCTCTAGCTACCTTCTGCAGATACATCTAGATAGATATAAGATGAAAACAGTTATGACAGACATGTGAGTGATGCTCTCGTCTCAATTGTTCGTAAAACTGACAAGGTTCCGGTATACGAAGAAGATTGATGCGATACCCGTTTACCCACGAAACAATGATAAGTTGCTCTTGTGCCACCTGCGCAGATCCTTGCTTTTCCATAACCACTAAGTCTGATGATTGATCTCATAATGATCATGGTTGGGGAATCGTTTCCGTTTCGTTTATAGTTTGTCCCATTAATGTGTTGTTTCTACCGAATAAAGTGTTGTGATCTTCCACACTCTGAACCCACAGGCAACGACATCTAATGTAAAAATCTAAATTCGTTCGACGGAAGCTGCGTTATTCAAATTTGATGTTTTCTCCAGTGTTGAGAATAATCCATAGTGACGGCGATTTTGAAAGTTCTCGGCATGAACCTGATGAGCGGTTTTCGTCCTATCAGTTTACTAACTAACCTAGCGGAATGATGGAACAGATAATATGGTTCAGGCTATCATTACGGCTAGATAGGTTTTATGCTAGTCCTATTACAGATAGCTTCGATTTTGACATGTCTATCTCCAATTTTTAGGCCTTGTGCTATCATCGATAAATTCAAATAACACCGAAGCTTTGAATGAGTTTTGCTTTGGAATAGTGTTATTCTTTTAATGTTGAGTACGAACATTTACATGTTTACTTGGCCATATCATAATGCGCCTTCCTGCGCAATGAACGAATAATCAAATGCATAAATATATGGTGCTGCCCTTTATAATGTGAGTTGTCAAGATCACAAGGTCTTTGAGCAGAACTATGGCTCAAAAATAGCAATAACTTGGTCAACAGAAATACCGCACGCGTAACAACATCTTAATTATTGAGAAGATTTACCGTCAAGCTAACCATTTTCTACCCTCAGTCTAAGGATTTTTTAGGATAAAAATGCTCAGCTTTTCTTCAAATGCCACTTTTCCTGAGATATTATTACAATAATCTCTAATTTCTTTCTCTGTGCATTTCGGTGTATTTTTCACGGCTGGAAAACATCCTGAAATGAGAATTATACCTGACGGCTTTTTCAAGAATGATCCGTACCTGAATTCAATATTTTCTCCCAGTCAAACCGTTCTACTGAAACTGGTACAGCAGCGGAAAATGTGGTAGAATTGAGCTCAGCCTAGAAAAACATTTACAGACTCGAAGTAGTTTTCACCTGTTCATGTCAACATTTTCAGATACTCCTTGGTTTAGTCTTTAAAGGCAGGGTCTGGGCAAGTTTAGGATTCCTGGTCTTCCGTGCCAACGCAGAGGACTCCCTTGGCCACACCATCGCACAATTGCGAGGCGATAGCGTTAGCATAGAAGCGAGAATACGCTGAGAATGCTAGGAACATAGATGCGATAGGTGGAGAAATTTCTCTTACCCCCTTCACTTTAGGGCTGGCATCTGGCTGAACCCTTTCACCTGAGGTTGAGGCTAGAATCGAGGCATAACGGGAGAATCAAACAGCTGTTACAATGACACTTTTTGTTTAGAAAGGAAACGCCAGCTGCTCTTCTTTTAGACATCAAGACTGCAAGAGTTACGAATCAACAGCGTTTTATTGGAAAAACGCATGCTCGAGACCTTCTGCGCACTCAAAGTGGCGTTGCTAACGAAAGATAATCAAAAATTAAAAGGATGTCTGATACTTTAATCAGTTAACATTGTATCAATGAATACACATTGTCTCAAGAAAGAGTTAAGCAAAAGTAGAAAATTTGGACTAGTCAGTGATGGATGCACGTTTGCTGACAATAATCGTACCATATCTCCCTTCACTAGAGAGAATAATAAATAAAAAAGCAGTTAGATTACTCAATTCTCAAGCTTTCGAATCATATATAAAAGTTCGAAAAAGACCTTCTTGGTTTGAAAAGATAATCACCCAGAATTGGCTGATATTGTAGATAGATAAAACTGCTCGTATATCGCTTCACAGAAAGGCTAGAAAAAAAGAGATGGTCTAGGTCGATTTCTCGTGTTCTTAGCTATCGAATGGTAAATAAAGTGTTGGTGCACAAAGCTTTCCCAGTCCAAAAAAGTCTTGCTCCGGCGACCCATAGAAAGCCGGAGCGGGGTGGAGCAAGTTAGTATTGAATATCTCCACCTCATTTTTGAAAAGCCACAAGTTTTTTGCCCAACAACCTATACATTATTAGAAAGCTCACGAAAAACGGATTCGGCGTAGACCGTCCCTTTTTCTTTGAGTCCTCTCTACCTAGAGATACATGCATTTTAGCTAAAAACATGTGTGTTTTTGCCATGAAATTCCTGCGTAAAGAATGAATAAAAGTGCCTGATACCTAACATTATCAAAGAGCAAGACCTTGCCAGTAATCGTAGGCCGTCTCTTTTTTTCTATCTTTGTCCTTTGTTTCAAAAATGAATCACAAAGTAATTACACAAAATTAGCCGGTGAGTAGGCGTATGAATTGCTCGCATCCGGCTTCACAGAGAAGCTATGAAAAACGAGACGGTCTGATTCGATTTCCCATGATCTCGGATTTCGAATAGTATAACGCATGTTAGGGTTTTTCTGCTTCCTAGCTCTAAAAAGCACTTGCTCCGGTGACCGATAGAAGCCAATACATTGGGAGAGCTGGGTGGAGCAAGCTAATAGTTAATATCTCCACCCCATTTTTAAAAAGTGGCAAGTTTTTTCGCCCAGTGGTCTATACACCATTCGAAAACTCAGGAAAAGGGCATTCAACGTAGGCCGTCGGATTCTTTCTAGCCCCCTCGAGAGGTACACCGCATTTTATCTGTAATCATCTCCATTTTCAACAGCAGATTTCTGCCAAATGAAGACCTAATCACAGCTGATTATCTATTTATGTTACAGAGCAAATCTTCGTTAACGATAGACCGTTGACTTTCTCGTGACATTCATTTGAAGAGCAGAATGAGGACACAAAATCCGTTATATACGAAGTATATGAAGTATATAAGGCAGTACAGTAAGGCATTTTATGTACTTCATACATGAATATATGAAGTACATAAAATGCCTTAATCTCGCGGCACAGAAGACCTAGAAAAAAGTGGACGACCTACGTCGATTCTACATGATCTCAGCTTTCGAGTGGTGTGTAACTTGTTAGGGCATTTTCTTTCGGGGCTCACTTACCCCCTTCACCTTACAAGGATGGGAGAGCAGAGACCTCCTTCACCTGGAGAGGGCCCGGCTCCCCCTATCGCACCTATGGCTAGGAAACTTACACCCTGATAAAGCATGCCAGTTTGTGGTTTACCTTCTCAGCGACAGAGTGCGCAAGCCTTCACAGTTAAGAGGGTTAGGGTCGTACACGACTTAGCCTAGGCGGAAACAATCCCACTCGCCCAACCTCAAATTTAATAGCTCAGAGCTTTCGGAAAAGCCCGTTCTTGCCGTTTTTGGCTCTCTGAGATTTTTCGAAAGGATAGGCCCAGGTAAGCAAAAAGCTGAAGACTGTGTTTCTGCTCGGACACGGCCATAAGATCCCCGCGTTTTATTCGATTAATAATAATTACCGCTTTCACAGCAGCACCGATTTCCTCTCGAGTCGGTGCGAGTTTCCTCCACAGCAGCAAGCAATTATCAGGGACAGGAAGTGGTGGATTCTTCGGTCGCGTCAAAATGATAATAGGTGCATTTTCTGGAAATCGTGTGTTTTTCTTAACATTGAACTACTGCCTAACACGTGCATATGTGGCTAAATGACACACTGTTATAGTCGTCCTCACCTCACTAGTCGCTAGGTGGGCAAATTCGAATTTGAATTCGAGCCAACGATTGCAGTAGAGCGCGGCACGTTCAAACTGCAGTTGAAATTTATGGACGTTTTCATTCTGCATTTTGGTTGTTGCATGCTATTTTTTGTGTCTCAGCTATGTTTGTAAACAGAATAAGCGATGGGCTGTTCTTGAGTGATGTTTCATAACGTTGTTTTCATTCCCTGACCTGATTTCAGGTACATAAGCTTAGAGCATTGATGCAGATGGGGAATGCGGCATTTAATTTGATAGAGCAACCTTTTGACGCATGTTGCATCCCAAAAGAGGACTTACGGGCAAAAATTTTCATTTTTTGTCGTTTGTCTAAGACTAGTACCTGAATTAAGAGTCGGAGAAACGAGCACAGTAGCATAATGTTTTTTATAACAAGATAAGCGTCAATTATCATCACGAGGGATGCTGGAACACAAAAACTAACCAACGACGAGAAAACAGAAAGAACATGCATAGGCTTGAACTGCGGCCTGTGTGCTTGAATTTAAATTCGAATCTGCCCACCTAGCGACTAGCGGGTTGAAGACGACTATAGCTGCTTTAGCAAGAATTATTACTTAACACCCAGACTGTCACAGAAGCTCTGCAAGTCAAATACTTTGCAAGTTTATGATCGCTGTGCAATTACTCTGGCTCACAATCAGATAATATGGTTTTGCATAAAAGATAATGAGATTTTCTACAAAAAAATAAAACATGATATTACCTTTGAGAAGAAGTTTCAACTTCTTGAGGAATGCTGCCATGTCTGCAACTTCGTGAGTGAGTTCGTTGAGGATAATAAGGTCGAATGGTCCAATCTAAATGCATTGAAAGTAGTCATAGTTATCAGTTCTGCTCAACATTCATCGACTAAAAAATCAAGGCATAACCGCAAAATGATGTTGATCCATCAAATTTGCTACGGAAAAGTTGGTTCCTTTGGTTTTATTTTCAAGCTTGCTCGCCAACTTAATGTTAGAGTAACAGCTGAAGTGAAAGATTTACGATGCCACCTACGTAAAATCGGATCTGGCTAGTAAAAAAACGGCAAAGCCTGTTAACAAACTGAGGTAGAACATAAAAAGGAGGATCAAGATGGAGAGCACTATAAAATGGATTATACGATGCTAGAGACTGAAGAGCATATCTCGGTTCAAATGCGCTAGGGCATCATATATCTTTTCGCACTTTCAAAGTAAGGACCAAAAACAAATTTTCTATCACATTGAGCTAAGGCTATCTCTATTGCGCTAAAATTGCCTATTGCCAGTGATGTAAGCGATTCAAACATTGCAAGTCATTCTTCTCGGGATCATTGCCACTCAGTCTACTTAATGAAGTGGGTGAAGTTGTGAAGTGGATGAAAAATGGGTCAAGTATGTTGTGATCATATCATATCTCGGTGCAAATGTCGGTGGAGAGTCACACCGTGGAAAATCTTTCAGGCAACTGGGGTCTAGCTAATACAATTACGCCTTTTTGGGAAGGCACTGTTGATATTAGCGTACGAAGACTGCTAGAGCTACGAAAAACGAGTCAATTATATGAAGCAAAGACCTTTGAACAAGAAAAAATTAAACGGGCAACAATAAAAGTATTCCGATAAGAAAGCTGATGCTAAAGTTGGCAAGTCCCTGACCACTGCCCCAATATTATACCTAAAAAAGGTGTAGCGGGATAAAAACAGAAATCACATCAGATTACTAGTTACTACGTGACTTGGAACTCTAGGCTGTCAATATGGTCACATATTTGCCTATTACTTACATTCTCAATGTCGTTGAAGTTTCTGCGAAAGTCACCCTTCTTGAAAGTTACATTGGAAGGCAAATCAAAGTCTGGCTTCTCTCCTCTGGCGATGATAGTCAATCTGTAAAAGTAAATTTGACAAGGCGAGATGGAGTAGAGAAATCTGCATCAATTTATTGTGCATTCTTCTCACTTGTTATCTGGATGTGCTTCAGCTAGTGAAATTGCAAATACACATGCTTCTTCCGATACATCCAGAATTTCTAAGTTTTCGCTTTTGCCCACCTGTAAGAATCATGTAGAGAGAATACGGTCAAGAAAAAAAAACAGTATCGAAACTTGACACTTACCTTATCCATAATCCATTTCCAGATATCCGGATGATGTCTTTGCTCAAACTTTTTCATCACTTCATACTCCTCTCTCGTAAATCTCACTTTCTGAAAAGACAAGCTGGAATAATTCAAATAAAATTATATGTAAAGCTGGATGTTCTCTACTGTTCTATCTGTTTGTCCATGAAATTCCATCAATGTGACGAACTAAACTTTAAACACCCATTTCGGGTTTAATGGGTGTCGTAGGCTACTTCTTCGTCATCGATGCATATTGATTCCATCGATTTTTGGCAAACAATGAGCTACGGAGCTGGGAGTTGAAGTGAGCATGCTGATTACGAATATAATAATCGTTTGCGAAATTGCTCATTGCTTTTACCGTTTCTATAGATTTTTTGCAAACTTTTAGCTGCGCTGAGTCAGTAAGGGGGAGGAGGTGAGTATGCTAATTAGTAATATGATTATTAGGCATATAGAAGTGGGACAGGGAGGATAGTGCAATGTTGTTTGAGAGTGAAAGAGGGGAATGGTGAGCTCTATCATGTGATGTTAACAGTGGCCGAGCGAAGCCGAGTATCTTAGCTAGTCTACAGCGAGACTGCGCTAGTAGGTTGTGTTTACCTTTGAAGAGCTGAAATGATCTTCAAGTGTCCTATATGCTTCACCTCTGTAAAAGAATTTCGAGTAGCTGCCGCTCCAATCTTCAAAACTTCGGTATTTTGAGTCTCAAAAAAAATACAAAAGGCATCTCAAAAAAAGTTTTGCAGACCCTCCATTGAAACTTCTATCCCCTTCGAGTCCTTCAATTTCATAAGTTCTTAGAGGCAGCAGCTCGCCAAAATCGGACATCCCAAAATTTTGACATTGAAGGTTGCTTGCACCCCAAACATAAGAACAGAGCAGGTCCGAGCGCACAGCATGCTGCCCTCCCTAGAAAACTGCCCCTGAACCGTTACGCGCAAGCCATTCTAGTACGCGTGGACGAGCTGGCGAGCTCTCCCTGACCCGTCAAAGAAGGCATGCTGCAATGTTATAATGCGGGGTCCTGCAACGATTCTGCCTCTCTAACTATGGCGGAAAGTGCTCCATTCGTCCAGATTTAGAATGGGGGGCCTTGGGAAATGGTGGTTTTTGCCATCCGCGCTCTTCAAGGTGCTCAGAAAGTCGAAGGGATACCTCCGGCGAGCAAATGGCGCGGGTCTGCCAGTTCGCGCTGCGGAGCGCTCCGGAGCCCTCCCATTCCTTTTAATGCTCCGGGGCTCTCCCAAATCTGGCGCACCTCCGGAGCAGAGATTTGCTCCCGGAGAAGGGTCTCATTCGCCTGCTTGTGACGTCACGGTGACACACGGTGACACACGCTGACACACAGTGACATACGGTGACATACGGTGACATGCGGTGACTCACAAGCAAGCGAATGGAACCCCTCTCTGGGAGCAAATCTCTGCTCCAGAGGTGCGCCAGATTTGGGAGAGCCCCGGAGGGTGAAATAGAGGGCTTCGGAGCGCTCTGGAGCGCAAAGTGGTAGACCCGCGCCATCTGCCCGCCGGAGGTATCCCTTCGACTGTCTGAGTGGATTTTCGGAGTTAGCCTCGAATTACTCCAGGTAAGCGAAGAAACTGCAAGTCGAGAATGCCGAGCCGCTGCCTTTAGAGCAATGTTGCAAAATTGGAAAGTGGCTGTTGCTCCGATCCCCGAAATTGTAAGCCTCTAGAAAATCGAAACTCAAAAAAGTTTTGAAATGTTTACATCCAATCTCTACTCTCCGCTCCACCTTCCACAGAACTTTGGCGCTACTGTGGGACATGAACCGAAATAGTGCCAAATCTTTTCATGCGAATGCATTCGTAGGGGGAACCCGTGCACTTTGAAAAAAGAGTCGAGTATGAGTTTATGGACAGAGGTTGCAAAATAATCAGATGGAAAGAAAACGAGATATGAGCCTAAAAAAGACGTAATATTTCCTTCTAATGGAAAATCTTGGGAGTTATCTTATTTGTTGTAATTGAATTACAACTGATAGATTTTCAAGTATTGTCAAATGCTACCACCGGATTCCCTCTACACCCTTTCTTATCCCGTCAACATTACAAGTTCTTAATCTTGTGATTGAAAGTGATTAAGTGTTTCTCGTATAATCTGCAACATGCTTGGTCGACACAACCCCCGTGAGCGCGGGAATGACCGCTATAAAAGATGTCATTCAGCAATTGCCTCCATTCGTCTTTTATTGTTCCTTATTTTTCCTAATAAATATTACTGTGCTTGTAGTGCACGGTCACAAATGAGGATTTGACGACGTGTCCACAAAAAGCTTGCGGGACACAAATATCGCCCAAATTTCCGCTTCCAATAATGTGACATATGTTTGTCGTCTCAAATCGGGCTGATGTTTTTGGACAAAAATGCAGTACTTCCGAAAAAAACAAGTCGCAAACCCATTATGCGTTCACACTTTTTGTGTGGCGAATTGCTAGTGATCTCGATGAACCATTAATCACCAGAAGCAGTTGGCTCACAATGAAAATGCTTCTAACAGCTGGTGTTGTTGCCCGCATGCGGCTATTTTTGAATTTTCTAATGGTAATAAAAAGAAATGTTGTTCTTAAAACATGACTGCTATTTTTAATACAACATCGCAGTAAAATCAACTCGTATACCAAGTCAATGTATGCGAAAATAGATTCCAGATAAAGTTCACCAAAGTAACTGCATTTTGCAAAAGTAGATTCAACAGAAAAATTTTACTAAAAATGACTTTTGTACAAAGTCGCGGCAGTAGGGGACTGAGTGAGTGGAAAAGGAGCTTTAGCCTCGAAAATGGGTTTGAAAATTCTCAGAGTTTAAAACTATAAATCGAAGAAATGATCTTCTGCCCTTATATAGTTGAATTTTTCAAATTGAGTGAAAATTCAGATCAACTTTGCAATTACGTTCGGCTTTGCGCCCCTCTCTTTCCAATTTCCAGATTGCAGAACCCTAAACCTCTGAAAGGGCTAGCTAACGCCATGTCCTTTCAATCAAAATAACAATGTCTCGAACCCTCCTTTCCCTCGGAGACATTTCCGGGACGGTACTCACATTGAAGGACCAGCTAAAAATGGAGAGTCAATGAGAAATCCAATATTTTTGAAGCTCAGGACATAAAGCTTTTCTTCACGGACCCGTCCCTCCCCCCCTCCCGATCCAGGTCCCTCGCCCTCCTCTACCCCACCTGTTCCCCGCCGCGAATATAGCCGTATACAAGTTCCGAAGAGATAATTTCTGAATCGCAACGTACAATGAATCAAATTCTTTTTTCTACCGATGGCTTGATAGTGTAAAACTTGTTCTCTTTAAGCTGAAAGATTTTCTTGAAAAAAAAGTATATTAAATTGATCTCCAAATTGCTCACATATCTTCAAATCCTTCAGTATGTGGCTCATTATCTTTGCTATTTTTTTTCTTTCCACAAGGCAACATTCACTTTTGTCAAGATAAATGTTAACACAAAAGCGTTTGTCACAGCTTTCGTTCTGACTGCAAAGGATTGTAATGTCTTAAAGGTGTCAGATGTGCGTCACATTAAGTACGGAAATGTAAAGCTGAATCTGTTCAGAGAACTGAAATTTCAAACTCTTGGCAATCTCCATATGAAAAACCTTAGCAAAAGTCTGTGAGAAACTCATTCCTTCGCTGATGTATGACACATCGTGAAGGCGGTTGAAAGACAAGGCTGCAAGCGAAAGCATGCAAGAAGAAGCGATTGTTTCAAGCTTTGTAAAGCAGTCCTCAGAGAATTTGCAAAATTTGATTGATTTGGGAAAATTTTCAGGAGGTCTTACTATAAAGTGTAATGCATATAGCTTAACTTTGAGCATCATAAAGCCTACGAACAGGCATTCAAGATATTGCCCAGCCCTTATTGTTAGAAGGAACACCTCCACTTGCTGAGGATTTGAGGGTTGTTGAACTTGCAAACTAGTATATTTGTTGTAAGCAATACAAACTCTTTACATACGAAGAAATTTAAATAAAACAATTCAACGACTAACAAGGGAACGATACATGGTGGCCTCTTGAGATGACAATCTGATTTCCGTTTCTGCTAATTGTTTCTCAGAAAGAAGCTATAAAAGATTTTCCCTCCACGTTTGGCAGTCAGTGAATTACGTTCAAAACGCCAAAGGAACCAACTACGATGTAGTGTAGTGGTTAGTGCGATAGCCTCCGAAGTTGATGCAGTTGAAAATTCGAATTGTATTTTTCAATTTCGCATTGTCTCACTTAAGCTCACGTTGATAGTTAGGCATGCAAAAAGATGCAGCCCTTTCTTTGAAAAAACAACCGCAACGGCTTGCTGTTCATCCGGTGCGGTCATTTAGAACATCTCCTATGTTTAAATCACTTTGTCATAAATTTCCATCACTGTGTTTAACATAAAATTCATTTTACATTCCCCTTCGATTTTGTAAGTACCTTCTAAAGTAAATATTGAAAACATTCATATAAAAATGATTTCTGTTGAATCAGAAAAAAGGATATGCATTTACCTAGCGGATGCCTAACTCTTAAAAAAAACTTATTGAAGCAATGCAAAACTGAAGAACACAAAAGGATTTGTATCTTCACGTGCATCAACTATCTCACTATCCACTACACCACAACGTACCGGCATTACCACGTTCCGACCTTATTTCCATGGGCGCTCAAACTTGGTACGAAAATCATTCATAACTTCTTTCAGAGAAACGATTAGCAGAAAAGGAACTCTGATTCGGAGTCAGTGTTTCAAGGTGATTATAATGCTACATCAGTTTTCAAAAGGCGGCGGACACCGTGTATCGTCTCCTTGTAGTCTGTATTCAGCCAAAAATAGATCTTTATTTTAAAAAACCCAGCAATCATTATCTTTAGAGCGAACGCTGCATCAGGATGTTTGTATCCAAAGCAACGGTTGCTGATATCATATTATTTGATACTATGAGTTACAGTTCTGTTCACGGGATATATTATAAGACAAAAGAAAGTTTTTGGTCATGCTTGGATGAACAATAACGATTTTATAAGCTTATCGGAATTTTTAGTACAGTTATCGAACAGTGATGGTCCCAAGACTTCTGTCCGGGAGGGGGCAGGGGCGGGGGAAAAGGGAGGGTGCGTGACAGAAATTTTCAATGGAAGTCTCCGAAAAAGATTTGGGATGCGAAAGTTTTTGCGGGCCCATAACCCCTAAAATCTAGAAGAAGAGGGCGGCACTCGCCCCGAAAAAAGAAGTTTTACGATTTCAAAAATTTTGACTGTTTTGGTTTTTTTCAAGAATAAGTTACTTGCACATTTTTCAAACCCATGTAAGTGAATTTCAAAAATTTTGCGACTCTCGGAGGGTCCTCCAGATCCGGCACTGGTCTCGGGGTACCAGCTTTAGTCATCTACCAGAGTACCGTTATGGTGCCAGAAACTTTTGAATTTCTGCGAAGAGATTGCAAAATACCTTTTTAGTGTGGTTCGAGCAACAATTCATTCTTTATGGACATTTTTGTATGCATCCCTAGAACTTTTCAATGCTGGAACTTTGATAAGCTGAAGAGGTCATACTATAGGGTCCCTATGGAAAAAGTTATATACTCTCCAAGAAACTTCAGTGTTCCTTTTGAAACAAATGGAAGGACTTTTTTGCGACAAAGAAGTGATACTACAAGGATAAGGGGCTAGCACATCACACAGGGTATTTCGATTTTAGGCTATCACAGGAATCTAATGCTATTACAAGGGAAAAAACTTGAGATTAGTGATTACATATAAAAAATGATCTTAAGCACTCAAAGTAAGGAGAATTGGAAATTATGGAATAGTTACTAGCCTTTGGTAGAGTAAAAAACAACAGATACACGACAGATAGCAAACCTTGCCTCTTAAGGATTACTTTAACATCCTTATGTCCTCTCACCTCTTCCCTCCCCCCCCCTCCATCTGATGGGAAACAAAATGAAGAGTGGATGCTTGAACTGCAAAGCATAAATGTCATCTCTTTCTAGTATAAAATCTCCAAAAAAATCCGGATTATTAGTGGGTTTACAGTTTTTGGGCATTCTGATGCCAAGAAGTGCGAGATGAGAAATCTCAGAAATTCATACTAATCTAACACATGAATGAAAATAAAAATCACCCAAATGTAACCTACCACCATCTCTGCACTGGCGAACGTTTATTTGTCAAATAAGAGATCAGAGCGGTGTGAGACGAGAGCTTGGACAGATAGCGAGCACGAGCTGTTCGAGAGGGGGATAGCTAGACCGTAGGCGGAGCTACGCCTCAGTCAGCTCAGCTAACTGGTGATCAATCAGCAGCACCTGATCAGCGCTTCCCATCTAAATCCGATCAGGAATCGATATATTTCGAGGAAACTATGCCATTCTTAGAAAAAGTTAACTTGTCATTTGGATAGTTAGATGGATGAGCCATAAAGCAAACATCACTGAGGAAAAGAGCGGTTTTTACCAAGGTAGAGGAAGTAGATAGGTAGCTCAGATAAATCCACAAACAAATCGCCTGAGACGATTACAAAAAAGCAAGTAGAGGAGATGAGAGGACGAAAGAAATACTAGCCGAGGCATCTTGAAGCACTCGAAATCTTCCAAAATATTTTCTATAGAATATCTGATTATACAAGCTCGACATGAGGCATAATATAATCCAAAGCCATTCACGATCAGATGGATTTTATCGAGAATTTTATTCAAATACGCAGGGTATGAATAACATCATGTTTCAGTGTTTTGATGCCTTGTAGTGAATACTACATCAACTAAAGGCTATGCGGCCAGCTGAAGAAAGAGAAGATGATAGAGAGAGGGAAAAAGTGAAATTACTTCCGGTAACATTCAGGATGTAACAGGTGCAAAAGTTATTACATTTCATGACTGTTGAGGAAGAAGTTGAACGATTGAGAAAATTCTACTTATTTTGTCACACTAGCATTTTGTAGATGCCATCAGAAAATTGTTCTCTATATTTTGAACTATCTATTAGGTCGTTCCGAAAGTAATGTCGCTTTTTTCAAACGGGCACCACATGTGAAAAAACAAAGGTTCCTAAGAGATCTTGGAGGCATTCGATGCAGAATTTAATTCTCTTTCTAATGATCATGAAATTGTTGCAAAACAGTTGATGAGCTTCCAGAAAATAACCAAAATCTGCGACTTATGCTTTTTGAGATGGTCAAGTTTTACGATTTTTTAAAGCTTTCATATCGATCCTCAGAAGGAGCTCAAGTAACGATTCGATAGAGTAAAGCTTATAGAATGCAGCACTACTTATTTCTCTTTCTCGTAGCTTGCCGTAATTTTCTAAAAGATTTTTTAATGGAACCATTGCATTTTGGCAGGCCCACCTCAGCCACAATCGCATCAAACATCATAAATTTTTCGGAATTTGAGACTACCAAGATGGTATTATGAGATAGCATTAATTTTACAAAGCATTTGAGGGCTTACGGGTTCGAAATATCGAATTTTGAGTTTTTCGGGTACAGTCTGGGGCTCGTTCAAAAAAATGAGTTATGATGATTTAATCCCCGAAAACTAAACGAATCGGAAACCAAACACACTTGTTAGACAGAGGAGAAAATGCTGCATCGAATAGTGCCCTAGCTGCTCTTCCATTGATGTTCTACGAGGATTTAGCTGCCCAGGTATGAAAATCGGTAGCATCAGTTAAAATTCTGTCAAAAATATATGACAAAGTATGGAAAGGAGAAAAAAGAAGTGCTGTATTCTATAAGGTTTACTCTATCGAACCATTACTTGAGCTTCTTCTGAGGATTGATATGAAAGTTTTAAAAAGCGTAAAACTTGACCATCTCAAAAAGCATAGATCGCAGATTTTGGTTATTTTCTGAAAGCCATTGACTGCTTTGCGAAAATTTTATAACCATTACAAAGAGAATAAAATTCTGCATCGAACGCCTCCAAGATCTCTTAGAAACCTTTATTCCATCACATGTAGTGCCCGTTTGAAAAAGCGACATTACTTTCGGAACGACCTAATATTTTCTTTGAGAAACTGAAGTTGGGCATACAGTTATGACAACGCTGCGCTTTCCAAAGCCATTCAAGAATTTTTTGGTGATCCCGGAAGTCTTGCACCGTATTTCCTTTTTAAGGATATTCTTTCTACCTTCAATATATTTGTCTATAGATAATTATAATTATAAATCTTTGCAAACATACGCTTTCCAATCTTGGAGAAAAAATTATGGATGACATATGGTACACCTGCTAGAGCAGAACACTCAGATCGTAAAATATAGATTCCGTGGCAGAGAATGCTCAGAGGTCAATAAAACCTGGCATTGTTAGCTATCCAAGTTTTACGACATACTAACTGAGAAATCTTGAAGCACCAAATGTCTCAACGGATAGTCACAACTTTCAAATTCTTCCTTATCTTAGGTGAAGCGTATAAATGTTGTGAGAAAGCATATTATCACAACGAAAATATATATAATGTGAATCTCCCTCTAAAAACAGTTTGAAGACCATTTTTTCCACGAATTTTGTGCAAGGCTTCGTTCTCTAAGCAATCCGAAAGAAACAAGCCCAACGGAGTCAAAAATGCAATGATATTTTGCAACACATGAGTATCATCCTCATTGATTACGCAAGTTTTTCTATGCCTCATCAGATTGTGTAGGAGGCAGTATTTATCTTGTCACGCACGTATGACATTTTTGCAGATGACCATCCACATGTGTTCTCATTGAAAAAAGTAGCCTCTGATTCATTGCATTATCCGGAACCATTAGTATTCGTTAGCAAAGACTAAAAATATGGGGTAAGTAGGTAGATAATGCGCTCATCCACAATAGATTTTATCTTTCCCACCGGCATAACAATATATACCCCGGCAGAGTTTGTTTCTTACTAAAGTCCTCAACTTTGATTTTGATTACAACACAATGGCTCATATGAGATAGAGGCACAACCCTGCCATATGTTGCAATGTTAACCGGGCAAAAATGCAAATGTTGTACAGCGTGCAGTGACTGATAAAATCATTTCTTCTCGCGATTTTGACTATCAGATTTAGAGCCTTTTCATTACTATCCTTGTCTATTACACTAGCGTACCAGCAATTTCCAAATAAGTTTCGAAGTGTGAAGACCACCTTCATGGAAATATAAGCGCAAGGTTCCAATACTAGTGTATCTGAGTGTTCCCAAATGCTTTAGAAGTAGGTAAAGCCTAAAACCATGTTGAGTTTATGAAAATTTACAATGGTACCACTAAGGGCAATAATATTTGTTTGGATCATACCCCAGCCCAATGAAATGCCATTACTAGCAAAAATAAACAGGTTTCTCCCAAACACAAGAAATAGCTGGGCATACCATATGTTACTGTTTCGAAGGTTAATGTTTCTAATACCAGTTTATGGAATATCACCGTTCAGTCGCGATCCGTCCATCACCCGCTACCCAACGAATAGGTGCAGTTCAAACCTTTCATACTTTACTACACCTTTATGTTCATTCTCAAAGCAAAAAGTAACTTGCAGGATATCCATGCTTGTACAAACGCTAGGCACGAATGTGAAACATAATCTTGGAACTTGAGTGGTACCTATGAACCCCAAAAAATTTGGTCTACAAAAAACACTGCTTGCTACAGCATGGAACTAAAATTAGTACTGTTGAACTGAAATCCAAGCACAACAACATCAGCAATCAGATACTCTTCTCGTGCTGTTCGAGCTCTACGCTCACATTACAAGCGGTTTTGAGTTGCCAACTTTACAATGAGTCATGTGAAAACTTACATCTTGCGAACGCTTTTGCACGAGGGCGAATTATCCATATGTTGCACTTGATGTCGATTCACATTTATACTTTACCCGGAGACAAATGCTCAAGATCGTCCTTATTATGTTTACACTAATAAATATCTAATCATTGGTTTTACATACAACAACTTTTCAAGGTAATTATGAGAGTACAAGTGCGACGCGGAGAACCAAGATTCCTCATTCCTTCACTTCCAGTTTGGGTTTTCCATTCGGTGGTTTTGGTCCACCACGTTTGACGACTGAAATTTGAACATCAAGAGCAAACAACGAAAAAAATGCTCTAACAGAATTTCCTCAGAAAATCTACGGGCAGGTACTCCTGCACTATCACTAAAAAACTTCTCGCGCTCTCTCATCGAGGACTTCAGCAAGTGGGCGGAGCCAACCAGTAGGGCGGAGCAAGCCAGTCTAAGGAGATTTCCGCCTTCTAGCTCATGTTTTTGCCCTCTAGTGGCTTAGGACCGTAGTTTATCAATTCCCCAAACTTCACTAATGATCTTCTAAGGCCCCGGTCAGACTTCACGCGACATAATCGTCGCGATCTAATCGCCAAGATTTCCGTTCATTTTCATTTCACATCCAAAAATATCGGGCTGGAAAAGTATCACAACCGAATGCAAGTTGATCGGCATGGAATGATGTTGTAACAGTTGTCTCGTCGCGATTCAGTCGCGACGATCAAATCGCGTGAAGTCTGCCTGGGGCCTAAGAAATTGTGTTGACTTACATGTTCTATTCGTTTTATCTTTGAGTTTAGCTCTCTGTTGTGCCAAACTTGATTGCGGTATGACGTTTACAACTGTGCCCACGGCTTTAGTTCTTCCTTCACGGAATACCATTCTTGTTCCTGAAAAACTAAACATAAATGTGGCAGTAAAATGCGCACACTTCAAGGGGCACACCTGGTCGAATGTATTCTGGCAATCGTATAAAGCGAAATGTCACTCGATCGCGATCCCCCGTCCGTAATACTTCCTAAACTATTCAGTACAATCGTTGATTTCCAGACTAAACTAATTCCACGATTTTCTAAGGAATGCAGAAAGTAATAGGGCGTTTCAATATGGTGAAAATCTGCCACAAATACCAAATATGGCACATGAATGGAGATAAATTATTGGAGAATCTAAAAGATAAGATGCAAGATGAGATGATCTAGAGCCAACATAACAGACCTTAGTCATGCTGACCAGTGTCGCTGTTTGCCTGATCGAGCCAATGTGAAGCATAGCTTGATAGTTGGGCTTTATCGTAGTCGGATGATGCAATATCAAAATCTGAAAACAAAATAATATTGAAACTATTAGAGATGCAAGTAAGAATTCCTCTTACGACATGGTGAAAACATAACGAGACTTAACATACATCAGCTTCAAACATCATACTGGCCGTGGGATTCATTCGTGGATCTAGCATGACCATTCCTTTTCGAACATCACGTTTGGTAATTTTCCTGGAGATAAAATCTTTAAAAAGATAACTCGATGATATCAGCCACTATTACAAATCAGAATAGAATTAATGAGTTGAAAATGAATTTTTGAAGGACTACCTAAGAGCAAACGACGCTGTCTGTCCACAACGAACACTTGTTACAGGCATTCGCTTCCGATGGATAGACTTGACCGGTAATGGCATGAATTCGCCCACAGAATTAGGGCCTAATAACAACGTGTCGTTGACTTTGATTGTTCCTGACAGTACGGTACCCGACACCACAGTACCGACACCTTCTACCCAGTAGACATCGTCAATCTATATAACAAACACTGCACAAGTTGTATAATTAGCTCAAGTGTTCATTACCTGGAAATGAGCTGGATCATTCTCGCAAAGAGTTCTTCTCAGCGGAACTATGTTCAAAAACTGCCTGAGTAGATCGAGATTGGTGCCTTCTACGTTCGATACTTGGAATATAGGACATACTCTGAAGCATGTAGTCACGATTAAGGATATACACAATCCAAAAATGCTTAGAAACATGGAAGAACAAGTTCGAAAAAATATACCGCTTGCTTGGGAAATTTACAGCTGCATGAATTACATCATTAGTGTTACGAACCATTACGGGAAGTTTCCGAGCTCCCGCACCTGAGACAAAGATTTAAATGAATGTTGAGGCAAGTCATCTTAGCTTACTCTTAACTAGCCGCCCAATATTTTTCATAGTTTCCTCAAGAATCTGTGGTGGGCACATATCAATTTTGGTGACCTAAACATGAACTGCTTTCATGTTTGTCAAATACTCTCAGAGCGCCTCTAATCTCGATTTGCTGTGATCTTGTTTGTGGACCTGATTTTGAGCGAAAGAGTGTTAGGAGAACGGACAGCAATTAAATTTGGGTACCACGAATTTGCGCAACATTCCGACTCTTCTCAGGATTGAAAAATTGCGCGTGTTCAGGAAAATCCACGCTTTTCCTTTCAAAGGTGGTTGAAAGTCCAATTCGAAAACAAAAAGTATAGAGTCTAGAATAAGTCCAAAAATTAGACAGACAAGCCATTCCTCTACAAGGTCTAAACAACTTTCCTCAGATAAAATTAATCCCAAAAAACCAAGGAAGAACGTAAACGCATGGAAACTGATGAATCTAGAAAAACATGATCTACTAGAAAAAGAAAAGTTAAAGCTAAATGCATTTCGAAAAAAAACGAACTCGATAGAAGCACAAAGAGAGCTAAATGATGTTCGAAAAATACTCACCACAATGAAGACAGGCACAGACAGCGAGAGGGCTAATGACAGATGTTCTTTCGTGGTACCGATTATGCCCATATTTGCACCGACCTAATTAAACAGCTAAGCATTTACAGGGGAGATGAAAAGGGGATACCCTAATTTTTTTCAGAAATAAATAGACAAACCATGAGCATAGTATAATCAGGCATATGCCCAGTCATTCCAAATATCGTGGTTTTGAGGTATTTTTCGTGTCCAGCTAGGTCAATGAAGGTTATCAGCTGAAAACCAATATCATAATCCAATACCAGTATCATACCAAAATATCTGTAAAAACGCATATCTGTCCCCTCTACCTTACTGCAGTCTCTGCTGATCTGCACCCAGTCGAGGTTATTATTATGTTTATCTGGTTTGTTAACCACATTGCCGTGTACATCGAAGCCAAGAATATCGTTGCCCACAGATGATGTTCGTCCAGATTCGAATTCGTGCTTGTGCCTAAAAACCGCCAACCATATGCAAACAGAGAGTAAGGCATATCTTTATGGTAACAGTAAAGGATTCAAACCTGAAGAGTTTAGTCCTAGCCAGACCTCTGCCATCATCAAGGACACTGTGAGTTAGTACCCCAAGTAAGGTCGATTTACCTGCATCTACATTGCCCACTACTGCTACTCGAACCTAAACAACTTTTCTCGCGGAAGTAATCCTTGAGCGGAAACCCCTTCATACCTCTATAAAATCTTCGTTCATCGGAGGATCACGAACGATCCAAACCTCCGTGCATTTGTCACCGGTCGTTCTAGTCTCTATTTTTGTACCTGAAAAAGTCACAAACCGTTTAGCAACAAAAATGTGAACATCACTATTCAGCTCGAGGAAGAAACGAGAACCCACCTATGGCAGGAATACTTTCAAGAGCCTTGATATGATTGGCAACAGCGGTTTCCATGTCTTTCAATGGGATTCCAGATGCTAAAAACCACGATAAGCAAATCAACGTACTTTTAAAAGTATGGCTGACCTTTTCCACCCTGTTCTATGGGAACACCAAGCTCAACAACTGCTTCGCCTTCGCCTTCTAGTAACATCTTCCGCAGATGGAGTACATATTTCTCAATCTGACATAACGTATCATAGGATGATTATATTTGGTGAAGACTCCCAACCGCAACCTAGACAATAGCGCAAAACGTACTTCCTCTGGCTGATTTCTGACTAAGAACAACGCATCAAGACCTCCACCTTTCATGTTCGAGTCATCGTCGTCCGAGTCTGAAGTGATATCAACCAAATATTGAGACTTTTTATAGCTGAATGGTTACTTCAACCAATTTCTGACCAGAAAAGGCTGGGACTCATAAAATCTTATAGACTGAAGCATAATGCATGTTTTTCGTCACATTTTGAATGAAGAAAAAAGTAAAACAATCAATGATGAGCAGCACATGGAATATATTTGCTATTTTTGCATGATAGACTCAACTCGCCAAAAAACTGATAAAACTCAAAAATCTACAAAAATTCTGGGCACTATTATCTGCTCAATCGCAGATGCGATGCTGTACAAATCTTGATACCATACAAAAAATTAAATATATGAAGAAACTAACCATACAGTCCAGCTAGACCCTCTGCCGTTTTCTTCGTTGTCATAACATGCCCATTCATATTATTTTTGACCGGAGGAGATTTAGCTGGTGATGGCGTTTTCGACGATGAAACCTCCGTGGTTACCTCCTTTGAACCGGATTTTGTGTCTGCTATTCGATCCATCTGCAAATCTACTGTCAAGGTACAAATCCTGCTTAATTTAGATACGACAGGTAGAAAAATCTTCTCCATTTCGCATAAAATTAGCGATATATAGAAGTGGGAGATGTTTACAAGACGTAAAACAGCTAGAGGATTACATCAGATCATCACGCATGCTGATACTTGAGGAACCGGTCATACTCTCCAGGAGGTGATTCCCTGTGATTCCTCGACTTCCAGTGTACTAGGGAGCGCATTACAAACTTCAGTATACATTGTTTTTTCGCAGTATAATTGTTACGGGACCCGCAGGAATCACAAGAATCGAAATTGCAGGAATCACCGGAATAGTATGGCTGGTCCCTAATGAAACGATACATACCTAGGCGTAGGTAGAGAGCGAATTTCAGGAGCGCTTTGGTTGGAATACAGTAGATGTACTGTATGAAGTCATCCAAATAAGATGCCTTCCAGAAAAATGTGTAAGCACGGTATGACAGTTTGTCAAAAAGCAAAACAATGTTAAAATGCGTGAGGTCACTGCATAAAGCAAAAAATGAAATTTTTGTGGATAGTAAATAAGCAGCATATGAAGGAAAGAGCTTCAACATTTTTAGCATCAACGGGAACAGCCGTCAAGCAACTGATAAAAGAACAGCATGGAGCTGCCAATGAGGCTTCTTTCACAGCGAAAAAAAAAACAAAATCAGAAACCAAAATCATCTTGTAGAATAAGAGCAACAAATCGACCTGAGATAATGGACAATAGAACAAGTAAAATTTTAGGAAAAAAGAAGATTATCCATTCTTCATGGTGTATGCCACATAAGTAGAAAATTCTGCAAGTCATGACTGTTCATCGCTGCGAATTCGGCAATATTGCACAACCTGATGCTAACCCAGTGTTCCAACTTACACATGGATTGCTGGCACACAAAAGTGCGGAAACAGACCATACATCAAAGGATGTCTCTCTGACGAGAAAAAACAGAGAAAGACATCCCGAAAGAAACCTGCACCACCACTTCGACATTTTAACCCTTCAATATCTGGCAGCATTATCGGTTTTTTTTTCGCCCGCAAAATAATGCCAAGTGGAAATTTTCTCATTTTTGAATTTTTTTCCCTCACTTTCTGCTGCGTTATCTGCAGGGAGACCCACTCTGGAACATACTACACACAAAGATAAGATAACAGTTCGAAATGAGTGATAGGTTTCGCAACGCAGACACATTGAGCGGATAGGACTTCTTTGCCAGTAAAGGTGAACAATCCGCTCAAATTTCAGTATGTTCAAGTGAAATTAGTTGAAAAACTAGGCTCATTAGATGGTATTTGATGTGAGCAAGAACAAATCAATTAAAGGACTGACGCATGCCCTTACAGAAAGGAAATGGGTGAAAGTACTTTACTTTGTCTTACAAGACGCTATAGAAAGAATGCAGATGGCCATTCGATATGTTTGGTTAACCGCTTTTTTATAAAACTTCGTTCACATTCTCCTAGGTGAGGGAAAACAAGAAACTTAGCATAAACATCATTACTGAAGCGGGATTATAGAAAATGACCTACGAACCCGGTCATGCACCCACATCTCATTGTCAGAAAAACGAAATTGCTATAGATGTGAAAAAGTTACCTATTTAGGGTAAAGAAAATTATGCGAAAATTTTCGGTACAGGAAATGAACCAGACTAGCTGCACACTTACAAAACAAATAATAGGCACTTTATATGTACATATATACAAAGTACAACGATGCGAGATTGAAGCAATTGAATCGAAGTTAGTCATCGTGATAAGGCTAGATTTAACGTCACAAAAAGGAATGTTTGGTCAGGAGAGAAAGAGGAAAAGCAGAGTTTTCCAAATTCAAGAGCGGAATGACACAAGGCAGTGACCTGATATGAAAACCACTAAAAAAGCTGCTTTGCACCAAACTAAATGGCTGACAAAAGCTAAACAGGTAAGTGTTAGAATAGCTTCTAGAGGTACAAGAAAGGTTTTGAATATGCTCACAATATGGCTAAACTAAAATGCTAGAAAGTCTATCAAACGCCACATCCTACGGAAAAAAAAACTACTACATAAATCCATCCATAACGCGCTAGAGTACAGATACATGTAAAAACACTATGATCATCATTGAGCACCTCTGAATAATTGGGACAGGGACTGACCCGAGATTTGCATATCACAGCACTGCGAAAACAAAAAAGAATCCCCACTAATTTTCCTGATTTTCTTGATTTTCTTCAGCATCATCTGGATGTTCCTGCTCATGCGCATAGTGGGCATTGTCACCAAAAATGTGTGGTACAGCGGGAAGCGCAGCTGGAGGCTGAAAGTCTTGTAATGAATTATCTAGCAAAATACGAAGATGTGAATGTTGGCTACTGTAGAAAAAAACGCTAATGAAGCAAAAAAAACTGACACTCATGTATCTCCTTACAGTAGCTCGTAGACGTCTACCAACCAACGGATTAGGCTCAAACATGCTCACATATTGTAGCCGATGCACAAGGAGATTTTGTACAACCCTCTAAAAAATCAAGCTTTCTGTAAGAAAGTCGAGTATGCTTTAGACCGTACAAGCTCAAGTTTTTCACAAGAAGGTAAATAGAATGAAACTGACAATTTGGCTTGCTGGAAGAGGCAGGGTAAGCAATGCGTCCGGAGCAATCTCCACTAGATTCGCCACGGCGCGAACAGCCCAATCTCGCAGTGACATCACTAAAAATAGTGAAAATCGGGACGCATAAATAATTGCAAGCATTGTACGAAATTACTTACAAGGGAACGTGATGAGCACGCAAACCCGATTAATCACATTTATGTTTTCGCGTTTCGGAAAATATACCTGAAAAAAATAATAGCCGAGAGAAGAAAAAAATTTATGCTAAAAAAAGCATAGCTTATGTAGCGGTTATGATCTGGCCTGTATAACAACAACACTTTTAAAATGAATCAGGCAGAGACCAACTCACTGTTATTCGACCCGGTTGCCCTATAAGAAGGTCACCAACTCCTGATTCCCGAAAAATCCATGGATGTCCCTCATAAGTATTGATATCCAAATACTGAGACTTCTTCAGCTGCCCGTAACGGATTCCCCTACCCTATGAAAATTGAAGTTATCGACACGAAATTGTGACGCTGAACGCTTCAACAGCATTGCTCAAGCCCATGTCAAAAAAGGGAAAATAAAAGGGCTTAATTTCAACAAGAAAATGATCTATGCGATCTGTCAAAAAAAAGAGACATTAATAAAAAAATACCTCTTCATTGATCCAGATAACATCAACGTCTGTACCCGTGAGATTGAAAAATCGAACATATACCTGCAAAATGACATTGTTGCTATCCTGTTCTCGGATTCTTTGACCAAATGTTCTTTAACCAACTAAGATTAAGATTAACTTACCGCTACTGTGCCAACACCGGAGCGAATGTTTTGAATGCCTAGTCCAGATGCATTGATATTCTGCTGCACTCCCTGTAACGCTCCATCCATCTAGTTCAAGGCTAAATCCTGAAACACACTCGAATGCAAAGAATTTCGCGTTGACATGACAGCACAACGCCAAAATTACCAATACACCGCCAATCGATATTAGGTATGCAAATGCTCTGTTACAATCCTACATATAAAAGTCTAAACTGCTTAGAACAGAATGCCCACAGTAAAAAAAACGTAACAATCTATCTACATGCTCTCGACTGACGTCCAAACAACCAAACATCGAATGTGAACTCAAAATTGATAAAAGTTGCGGTAGCCGCAATGTTGTGTACGCACACTTCAGTATTTGTAAACGGCTAATAGTGTTTCTCGCTTGGCACGCGGCATAGTTGATCCATTGATCCATTGGACCAACTTTGCTACTGGTCGAATCAGCAAGTGACCAATAACGAAGCGGATGTCTACTTGATCCAGTTGGTCCATTTCGCTGTCGGTCAATTGATTGATTTACCAACGACGAAGTGAATCAAGTGGATCAAGTGGACCAACTGTGACGTGTGCCTTTCCATCAAAGGATGGTGGGCAGCTTAAAGGCAATGGCTCGGCAAAACTCAACAACTCAGAATTTTAACGCGGTAGACTCCTCATTGCCCAAGTATGGAAACAGTGCAATCCCTATTGCACAGCATGCCTTCCTTGCCCAGAAAATTCCTCTCAAACTTACACGCGCAGGCCATTCTTACACGCACCTGGACGAGTTGGCAATTTCCTTCTCACCATTGGAGACCGCCCGCCGCAATGCTATAACCATTGGGTCCTGCAACGATTCGGCGTCATCAGCCTTGTAGCACTCGTCCAGTTCCAAAGGGAAAGGCATTGGAAAACGCTCGTTTTCGGCATTTTCAAGCTCTCAGAAGTGAATTTTCGGAATCAGCGTATTGAATAACCCCAGGTAAACGAAAATTTGACTATGGAGATTTGCCGAGCCACTGCCTTTGACTGGAGAGTCTCGGTGTTTGTGAGTATCCACAGCCTTTGCAAGCATATAGCGCGTGTGGGGCAAGTGGGACTCAACATTACAGATCAGTTCAGCTGGAGTTTGAAGGCAGTGACTGTGCCGCTTATAGGGCAACTTTGACTCTGAGAGCAAACACAACACGTCGCTATCAACGTTTATTGTGACACTGAGGAAGCTTACAACAGAAGAGCCCTGTTGACCCCTGAACCCGCCCGCTTTACTGCGGGATGATTAATGCATAGGTCGGTTCGGCCACAGTACGTATAGTCGTCCTCATCCCACTAGTCGGCTCGGTGGACGAATTCGAATTTGAGCTGGAGCAGGCCGGTCGCGGCGGAGCGCGGCACCTCAGTCCTCAGTTCAAACCTTCGCTTATTTCTTCCACTCTTTTTTTGCCTTTGATTGGTAATTCGTATATTTTGACAGCGTTCTCAAACAAAGATGACGTTTTGTTATTGTTAAACATTGTTTCTGGGTGCTCGGTTTTTGTTTGAGTGGGCTTTGAGAAACGATAGAGATGGCGATTATGCCATACAACTCACCACTATAGCAGCACTTCTGCACATATTACTTACAAAGAAAAGAATTACAGCAGATGTTTCCCAACTGTATCGCTTCTCCATCTGTATACAGATGAAGTTATGAGCTTAGCAGAACGAAACAACGCTCGACCACAGCAAGAAGTTTTATTTTGCTAGCGAACATACCTCACGCTGCAAAGATTAAGAAGCAAATAATGAGGATAATCATAAAAAACGGGTGGGGGACTATATGTCGCCGGATTTGGAAGAGTCCCGCGCGGATTCCCTGCAGGAACGCATGTCCGCGCATGTACAAGAGTGCGTACTTGTGGCAAATGACCGCGGGGACCGCCCTTTTTCGGCGACATATAGTCCTCTACCCATAAAAAACATGCATAAGTTTGAACTGAAGGCTGAGGGCCGCGCTCCGCCGCGACCGGTCTGCTCCAGTTCAAATTCGAATTCGCCCACCGCCGACTAGTGGGGTGAGGACGACTATAGCAAATGGCCGAACAGTGATTCGATAAAGCCGAATATTTCGAGATTTTGATACGTAAGGTTGCTTTCACCCCAAACGCGAGGACAGCGCAGGTCCGAGCGCATGGCAAGCTGCCCCTGCCTAGAAAACTGCCCCTAAATGCGTGCGCGCAAGACGTTCTTACATGCGCTCGGACGAGCTTGCGACCCCCCTTCTACCGTCAGAGGCGGCATGCCGCAATGCTATAAATATGAGAGTCCTGCAACGACCCCAGGTCTTAATGGCGAAAGTGTTGAATTCGTCCAGATTCAAAAAAGGGGCCTTGGGAATGCTGGTTTTCGCCATTTTCGCTCTCTTCAAGGTGGATTTTCGGGATCAGCGCGTCGAATTACCCCAGGTAAGTGGAAAAACTTTGACTCGAGGAGTTGCCGAGCCACTGCCTTGACCATGTCTCGGTAGGTCGACTTCCTATCCTTTCCCTTCTGGATCTCACTGGTTGAGCTCGAATAATGGCTTCAAAGCATAATAAGGTGGAAATCAGCGTTCTCTTAGCTAAGTCGGGAGAGAGTGCTGTCGTCCACGTTGAGGAAATTGTTGTAATTGTACTTGGCAAAACTGGCATGTTTGCAGTTTCGTAACTCAGGGAAACCTGGGAAACCGGAGGGGATGATCAACACGCCGATCCGGTGGCTTACATTTCAGGTACAGCGACTTCGAGTGTGTACACTTCTTAGTCGTAACTCTCCACAACAGCAGAAGAAGGATTCAGATCCAGTTTTTGACGTCTTAATTTATGCTCAAAAAGCTCCAAATGCTTTTCTCACACCTTTACATGAACGAGGAAGTTGGATGCCAAGCGAGAACCCCACTTTGTGAACCTTCAGAAGCACAGCGTGAGAAGGTCTTATGCATACTTGATCTTGTGAGGCGCGAGGAATTCATATTTCAGTATCTATCATACAATCAGTGGGATGGATGAAGCGGTTATGACTGTGATAGGGATGAATTCTAGCTCTATTTTCCTATTTTGCAGAGAGCAATTATGAATTTAATTTTCTTCCATTTATTCGCAGGTCAATACTCTTCCCTACTTTGTTAAGTTCCCGCAGCATTTTGTCTACTTCAATGCCTCGAAAAGAGAACAGTATCCAAAAGAAAGTTTGAGCGAAGTTTTCCATCAACTCTTATGCCTCTCTCTTTTCCAATCCGGCGGTTTCATCACCCAGCCATGGTGAACACCTCAGCGAGACTGTATCCTGTTTGGGTTCCTTCCCAATGTACGGCCAAGGGGAAGAGAATAGTGTGACTCGTGGTAAAACTTGATTGAAAGTCAACCAATGTCGTGCTATGACCTGGCTCCACTCCTTGATCGACTAGAGCTGACAGGATAGCGCCTTTCAATGCGGCCAAAAGCTCATAAACGGAAGTTAAGACGAGAGGCAGGCGGTACTCTCGGCAGAATTTCATGACTTTTGAAATTGTTTGAATGTGGTCCACACAGTCGAATTCCTGGCAAGAACTTGTTACTGAAGCTGAGGTATTGGTGTCATCGATATGCGAGCGAGGACAACTTTTGCGGAGTCAAACGCACACCAACACACATGTAAAGGACGCTCAACTTGTGGATCTTCTTTTCCCTATCTGAATGGAAGGACTTAAGGTTCTCGCTGATCAAGGATCCCTTCCCTCTGAAAGCAAGATGTTAGGCGCTGCTAGAACATCGTTTAAATGTGTCTCCTGGCTAACAGAAGTTTGACAGAGAGATTATCAGAATATAACTTGATGTTTCTATGGTCTGAATCGCGGTAACCATTTTAGCAAGGATCCATAGTGGTACTTCTTTCGTGGAAATAACGAAAACCCTCACAGATATGATGAGCGGATGGGGTTGGTGTAAAAGTTACTGATAGGTTGTGACAGCTCTTAGCTAAGCATCCGAGAGCATCGAAGTCAGATAAGGGAAAGGCCCTTCTTTGTCGCTTCGGAAAGCCCTGGAGATTCTGTCAAAGTAGCTGCCAGCATCACTTCTGAGAGCCATTAACAGCTGAGCTTGATGGTATCTCAATTATCAAAGGGCTATAATGTGCATGTTGAATGATACAATCACAACTACATTCAACATTGTGACTTCGACTGCCGTGCACTCCCAAAGCACGCTGCATAAGAATTTAGATTGCACTCTTTTAATGAAAATTGTTCAAAGGGTTTACTTGAGCAGTTTTGCATGCATCCATAATTTTGAAACTTCACTCGTTTCTTCGTCCCTAGTGTGGGACCTGTGTCTTTCATACTATAACGGTGTTTTCTAGATCACATGCCACACGGTTCAACTCACACAACCAACGAGAAGCGCCGGCAAGAATTATTCGCAGCGGTTACATAGACATTCGCTTTGTCGATGAATTCGCGAGCATTGCAGGCATGTTGCCAAAAGGCCTCAAACCAGTCAAACTCGAACAACCTCCAAGTGCAAAATCGCTGCAAGTAACTGAAAACTAACATATGCGTACAGAAAGGGTCTGACAAAAGAAAGGAAAGTGGTAAAGCTTGATGCGTGAGCAACGAGTGCAAATTCACCATCCTTCACGATCATGCAAAAATATCATAGAAATTTGAGCTTTGAGAATGTGAACTTTCGCAGAAGTTTGACGCCACATGACTAAAAACGAGAACATCAGCAGCAGCACTTTTGAAGGGCTGCGGTTCGTCACCTGAATGCAGCAAAGCTTTCGGTCAGTGGTCCGAAAAGGAAACCTCCCGAGAAGCTAGTTTACCACGGGTTGATATAAGATTGCAGAAGGCTTGGTTCGACAGAATGGTTCTTTCACCCATTGAGTACGCGTACGCCAGTATGAACATCTTAATGCCCGGTTTCTGCACAGAGCCTATAAGATCACTACTCGTGTACAAATCTGCAGCAATCCTTTTTTGTGGGCATGTGTACAGCTTTTCAATACCTTGTCCATATTCATCACCATATATATGTTCACTGCTCTCTCACTTTCACCAATAAGTCCTAGTCATTTCCATATATTTTGGTCAGGATTAACTCAAGCATCTCTTCAACTCTATTGCGCCGTACAGGTTTGTTATGGTGGCAGATTTATTCGTACTGGCCTAATGTTTCGACGCTTTCGTCGTCCTCAGAGGCCTGAAAACTACTCAAGGCATCATCCGTAATACCAGACCACCAGATATCTCCTCTATTTCAGCCAGTTTCGTCTGTATTAGTATTAGTACTCGTCTTTCTCGTCAAGCATCTCTTTTCAGTGACCAGTTATTTCATCTCCATCTCTATATGCTTAGGTCCTTTAGACATTACGGATCGATGAAGTGCGATTTCATGTTACACTACACATCAATTTTCATAGCCATCACATGGTGTACGTTCTATGTCTCTACAGCTATGTTTATGTCATAAATGTTCTTAATTATCAAACATCTGGTTGCATATAAAGCACCAGCTCTTGCCTACTCAGGACTTTAACAACTTAAATAAGGTGCAGCTCTAAGAAAGGGAGAAGGAAGTGCATCGTGGTGGTGACGTACATGAAATTTTCGGCGGTAATTCGCATTACCCGAGAAATGTTGCATCACGCTATCTCGAGAACTTTTCGATGCGATAAGAATCACTGCATCACTTTCGCTGATGATCCTAACAGGCTCTATAAATGTCTTTGAAAAATTTCCAGTCTGAGTTTTCGATATTCTTATTTTCTATTTCATTATCATTCTATATATAGACTGAAGATGCACCAAAATATAAATGAAAAAAATCCCAAAAGAAAGTTCCGGCAATATAAAAAACAAAAGACCAGCTAGTCCTCAGTTTCAGGGAGATAGAGAAATATATGGGTAAAAATACAAGAGAAAACATGAAGCCTTAAACTCAGGATGACGTGGATATCCGCTTGTAAAGATAGCAGAGTTGAAAGAAAATCCACTTTGTCTGGAAAGTAGCTTTGTTTTATAAAAGGGCAAGATTTGGATTCGTAGTGGTAGGCGAGTAACAGCTACCAGCTATGAACGAATGACATATTGGTAAGCGAAAAAAAAATCTAATGTGGGTGGGTGAACTGAGCGCCGGTGAATTGAGGAGATGTAAACACACCGTTAATCTAGGCGTCATCGTCCTGGACTTGCAGTTGCGGAAACGAAAGGGAATGACCGATTATTATCTCTTATATCACTCTGAGGCGACTATCACTAAAAAGAAAATAAAACATGAGAACACATCGAAATCACTTACATGAAGGTTCTTTTCCATCAAGAATCTAGGATGGGGACGCTAAAGGTGGACATGTATGCAATGGCACACATGATCATAGGAAATTATTCGACTGTGGCCATCTACTTCTATTCTTATTCTAGGCTATCAAGCATAAACAAGGGAGCATAGCGTCATATATGATTGGACGACAAGGCGAGATTTGAATAACAGCGGATGGCGTGTCCGTACACGACACATTCAAAATACAGTGATATCAAGAAGCGAAACACATTTGAGCTTTGCAATTTCTCTCGAAAAGAGTTTCGGATTTTGTCGATCGATATGATATGGAAATGCGAAAAGCCATCTAGATGTTCGAAGGTAAAGATGAAATTAGAATCTTCTTTGCCCGCGAATCTCCCAAGATATTAAGAAAAATTAGCAAAAAGCAAGCAGTACCCTGCGAAAAAAAAAGGTTTCCGAGTTCGGCATTGATGATTCCAGAATTCTAAACGTGAACTACATAAAGAGCAGTTTCAACTGAGCACTGCTTAGGTCATGATGCTCTCAGCGCTATATTCGTGAGCATTTGCTGACACAAACGCTTCTTGAAATAAGTTCATGACAGTTTTCTCGGTTGTTGTTCCGAAAGATCTGCTCATTACAAAGTGTTGCAATTATGACAAGTAGTGGTCTATTTTCTTTCCCATGTCCTCTAAAATGTGTGTAGTGTTATCGGCAACAAAAAAATTGCCATTAGCGCCTGAGCACCACATACGGACAATGCCTTCGATAAGGCTATCTCCGCAAATTTCGTGGAACATTCCATCCCTCCTGGTATAAATACAGCCAAGTTCAAACTATCCGCGTCCACTATGAACTCTGCTAATCAAGACCACAAAGACAGCGTCGCCCTCGTATCGTGCGACATCACGGTGACTAGGATTGATCAGGTAAATAATTTCAAAATTATTACTGCCTTGACTAGATTGTATTCTGACTTAAGGAGTGTGATCATCAAACCCTCATAATTAGCTTCGGACCATAGATCGATTGGTCAGTCTAAAGCAAAATTATGATCGCCCTACATACAAAGCAATTTTGAAGTTTCTGGAGAGCTTAATCAGAATTTTATTAAAAAAAGTATAATAGAAATTATCCGCCAACTAATACTTGAAATGATTGAAATTTTTTGATCGTATAAGCCTTGTAAAAAAATTTTTTGCGGGGCCATGGGCAGGGGATAACATTGAGAAGCAATTCAAAATTTTTTTGAAGTTTGGCTAACGCCACGCACCTTTATTTGAAATTCTTTTCTCTCTCCTCTCGAATAAATCGTGGAATCGCCCTGCCACCGAGATCTACGCTGACGGAAGCTCCAATTGATCTTCCGCCCAAAATCTTCGACGCAACAGCCGCGATTTTCTTACTCATTGCGGCCGGGCGTTAGGCACCTAATCTAGACAGGTTGTAAGGTTATCTAACAATGACACTATCAAGATCCGTTGCGTAAGAGCGGCATTTGTGCTCACGTTCGTCTGCCGTCTGTTGGTTTGCTGTTCAATTCTAAGGTGCCTGTGCAAAGCATGTATCCTCTCATGACTATTGTGTTCACGCACCAGGATGTCAACGACGACACACAAACGCTGCAATATTCGGAAAGTGGGACTTTGCTTAAATCCCTGGCACCAGCTCTTGCGTGTGCTAGAGCACAGCACGAGAGGACCGGTAGATGGCTAAATCAGCCCTAAGGATCCTCAAAAGCGCTGCAGGCTAAACACAATCCCACTATTGTATTCGACGGAAAACTTACATTAACTTTAATACTTTTTGCGGGATCTGTTAAAATATCCGTGAGTCTCTGAGGTCTCTTCATACCGCGCCGACTGCAGCCGCTAGTAGCCTGTAGCCGCCAGCGCCTGTGGCCGCCTCCAGCAGCCGTCAGTCGCCTCTAGCCGCTTTGGCGCTATCCCATATCAGTTGACCATGAAATGTAAATCGCTTATATTGTTGAAATCTTGTCTATGTGAATTCTTTGACTCTCAATATATTGATATACTCTCAATATGAATAAATAAATAAATAAATATATATATATATCAGAGGCAAACAATTATATATTGTTAATTACGAGCTGGCATCCCGAGTTCCGCCCCGATTTGGAGCCAGTCTATTGTGCTTGATCTCTCAGCTAGCAAAACTTATCCTTCTTTCAATTTCGTCTTGGGTTCGCTTCTTACCGTCCTTACCATGTCTTGATGACCAGCAGATCAAAATGCACTCGCCGCTTCTTTTCTTCATGACTATGGGGAATTTGCAAGCCATACAGTTTTTTTGCTTTATAAATATAGAGATTACATATTGATTGTGGACGGTAGCGCTTTTTCTCCGTTACGATTGATATACGGTAGATGGCTCGGAAATCCAACATCGCTCTAAACATTACCTACAAAGGGTTCTTGACGGAAATATCGTGCTCGTTTGCTGCAATAACTTATTGTGGAGTTATGAAAAGTTACAATGTGTAGATGGGCATATCATGTAGCCTCCGTAGAACAAGTTCAGCTTTTTTTCTATAGTTTTTCAATTACTGCTCTACCTAACTAAATGACTTTGTTTTACGTTGAGTTAGCCACCTTTTGTATTCATATAAAGCACTACACCTTCTTTGTCTATGTTGGAAACTCCACGCAAATATAATAAGTTCAATTCCGAAAATGAGGGGCCCAGTCAAAACTTCGCTCACCCAGTTCACACCTCAGCAGTAGCCTATTTGATGTAAGACATAAAACATTGTGAATTCAAATCCAGCTGTTGGATTCAACCTCTAGCTGCCATTTCGAAGGCAAAATCTACGGCATTGAACCTATGAGGATTTCACATGTACCTGATTTCGGAGAGTCAAAGGCTTGATTTTTACAGGGCAATCTAGGGGCTGGCAGATGGATAGCTGACGATTTGCAATGGTCCATTCGTGGCCCATACAGCAGAGTACGGTTTAGACGAGGAAACAGCGAATTCCAGGCTGTCGATGTTTCTCCAGGTTGATTTTTGACATCACCCTGTCAAATTCCGTAAAATTTGCATTTTCCAGAGCTCGTCGGATATCGCGCTGTTAGTTTTTCTGTGCAAGGTGAAAGAGCTGAGGCTCTTGAAAACGATGTGGTAGGTCGCCTTACAAGCAATAATACCAATAAATTGAGTAAATGATAAATGAATAGTGATAATGGCAATCGATAATTAGTGGTGGTTTCAGAATAGGCTCAATCGCTACCTCTATGATATAGAGAGGTTTCTAATCCGAATACGGTCGGCCGATTTAGCGCGACAAGAACTCGACCTGCAGGTGAGTAAAAATTTTTCATGACTTTCGTACTATGAATTTTCCCCTTGAGCTGTAAATAGGAAGAAAGAAATCAAATTTATTAGAAAACCTCATAACCGTCTTTTTCATACTTGTTCAAGGCGCTTTTCATAATTCAAAACGCTCTCTTCATACTCCTTCTAAAGGGATCATCTCATTGTTGCTAACACTCTACGGATGGTAATCCATTTCCTTACCCTCAGTCTAGCTTCATTACCATTTTCTGAGCATATTCTTCGTGAAGAAAAAGGTAGAAACTTGTTGCAGGCTCATCGTTATCAAGCAGCCAACCGCAGATATATGAGAGATGAATCAGGTTTCCTACATTACCTACATGAGAATACACAATTTCCCAGTCAACCCGAATTCGTAGATTCATTGAGGAAATTTAAACTAAGCTTTAATTTATTGGTAAGTGTTAAAAATACCCAAACATTCTTCGGTTTATTTATATATTTTCAGGCTAAACTGAGTCTTATACATAAGCCAGTTTCTCAATTGGTGCATTATCTCTTCATCGCTCTAAATATAATCTTGGAAGCTTGTCATTGGGAGTTGGGAAAGAAAATTGCCCCCCAAGTAAGCTAACTTCAATTTTAGTCTTTTTTTTTAAGAATTTTTAATGGTCTCTTCTCAGATTGTATGGCCTTTATTATCGCTTGAAGCATGTGAGCTAATGCAGAATAGTCTGACTAGCAAGGAGAGTGGTCTTTGGATGAGTTTGGGTGAAGCTTGGAGAACGCCACCGTAAGTTTCTTCTAACGCACGAATTTCTCCGTATAGACTTTGCAAAATGAGAGCTAAATTTTTTTTCAGCGAGGAATGGCGTGAACTTCTACTAGCTCCGTTTATGGAAAGGACTGCCTTGTAGTGCTCTACTCTAATAAATACTAGATTTTAGTGATTTGTTTCAATGTTCACAATGCTGGCTTGTCATATCGATTAAGAAACGATGAAACGTAGTACTGTACTTGATCGTCAGACAGATATATACCAGATATCGAATAATGGAACATAGAACAGGAAAAAAGACTTAGAATTATTGGAAAGTACAAATAATTCGAAAAGCTTGATGCTTTCCTTAGAAGCTAAAGCATAGCATGCCACGTTCTACCATCAATAAGCTCGAGAAAAATAAGTGAACACGAAAATTTGATGATTGTGGAGTAAAATTTCATTCTAAAACGTTGAAATGTGACTCCATCCGAAGTTTCCCGATAAAAATAAGCAAACTTTTTACGCTTGGCATGAAGAGTCAACATCTATGACACGTCCTTCTTTTCGGGTAGCAATTCACCAAAGAAGATGAATCATCACTTAGCTCAGAAACATCTTTAAAAGAAACCCTCCTTTTATCAAGAAGAGGAAGCAATGTTGGAAAGGCCGGCACCGAAATACTATTAAGCGTCCCAAAGTACTCCTTTTTTGAGTAATTCCGAGCTGTTTTTGTTTTCTATATCTAGGGTATCATTCTATAGAGCAGATCAAGCTCTACAAAATGACCTCCAAAGGTCCTCCCAAGTCGTCTCTTAAAAGTTTGAACCCAAAATCGAAAAAAAATCGTCACCTGGAAACTGGATTTTTGCGAAGAAAAACCTATGGATCTCCAACTTGGTCATTATACAGTAGGCACACATTCATACTCTAATATGCCTTTACTAGATTTATTCCGTGCAAGGAAAGCGAGAAAAATAAGATAGTTTAAAAATGACAGATTTCGCCCCCAGCCCCTCCCACACATACCATTGTGTACTACAAGCCTTTCTTATTATAATCTTAAATTTTCACCCCTGCAGGTGCTCTTATAATCGAGAAACACCAAGTTTTACATAAAAAACCGAAAAAGGGGTATTTTGGCATTTTGGGACTACCTTTGTTTCTCAATTTTGAGCTGGGAAAATCCACCAAATATATTTTTGGATACTACTACGCGTCTACTATACAAAGACCAAGTTGGAAGTCCGTAGAAATGTTCTGGAAGGAGATACGATTTTTGGGGTAGCTGAAAAATTTTGATTTTTGGCTCCATTTTACCTGGGTTAAGAATATGGTGGATCTTTTGTAGTCTTTTTGTAGAGCTTCCGCTCTACCCAATGGTACCCTGAAGCTGTCAAAAAACAAACAAATGCTCAAGTTATCTGAAAATGGAGTTTACTTTTGGGACAACCTACCCTCTTTTCAAGTGCATAAGCCGCACCCTGTTTGCTCTAAAGGCGAACACGCCAAAAGACAGGCTTTTACCATGGGGCGCGTTAAGTGAGAGCAATGTGCGAGAAAGCGACCGCTTTGCGAGACTCAAGCGCAGCGGCACGTCTGGGTCTGCTCGCGTATAGAGCAAAAAGGGTGCGGCTTATTATACACCTGAAAATCTTATATAAAGCTGAATGTCTGTTTGTTTGTCTGTATGTCTGTCTGTCTGTACGTATGTTCCGAATAGAAAATTCCATTTCTGTACCGATCCGGACCAAACTTGGCACACCTACACGGTCCCGGCGGGCGTCATAGTCCACTTTTCGTCATCGATTCATATCGATTTTATCGATTTTTATCGATTTTTTTGTAAAGTTTGACTTACGGGGCTGGGAGTTGGCACAGGGGGGTAATCGAGCATGCTGATTACGAATACAATATTAGTTTTCAACATCGTCCATTACTTTTACCGATTTTATCGATTTTTTGTAAAGTTTGACATGCGGGGCTAGAGGTTGGTGAGGAAGGTAGGTGAGCGTACTCATGACACAGCGGGAATAGGGAATTTCAAGCAAAAGTGGGCACAGGGAAAGGTTGCACAGGGGTAGGAATAAAACCTTTATCGTTTTGACAGAACCGAGCGAAGCCGGGTAAGCCAGCTAGTAGGGTAATAGTGCCACTTTTCCAGCACCACTTAGGCTCTGACCGTCTACTTACTCCTCAGCGGAAAAATATTGTAGTTAATAGCTTGTATTTCAATTTGCTTCTTAGTTCTAATGTTCGCAAAGAAAGCTGAGCGACACTGTGTGTGATTTGTTTCGAATGCCAAATGTTTTTTTTAGAAAGCTCCGATTTTCGCTTTAGTTTAGATAGAAAATGTGCTAAAGTAATTTGTTAGTTTTCCTCTGAAGTTTAGAGCCTCCGTCTATATGAGCCTATGGAGTGATGGATATGCATATGGAAGTGCACAAAAGGAGCGCTAAGAAGAAGCGCACGATTCTTTCTTCAAAGGGGGGGGGGAGTCATAAATTGAAAACGCTTTAGGGAATTCATGCATTACTTCCGCATGAGATTGATAGCTATTTTGAAGATACAAACTCTCTAAACTTTCAGGTACTTCGTAGTTGTATCATGATAATTTTCACACGAAGCTTGAGGTAAACTCGAGTTGATGGGGGCGTTCGCATATAAGGGGGCAATTTCTTTTAAAGACCAGGAAAGCAATCAAGTGACTGTATGTATCTGAATGAAATACAATAATAGGTGGATACCAGCGGCGGACCGAGGGGGGAGCGGTGAGATAAAAATGTGCAAGTGACTTGTTTATTTTTGAGAATAATTAGAATAATTTTTGAAATTTCCCAAAGATTAAGTTAGCCTTGCAAAAAAAAATTTTTTTTTCGTTATGGCTGTCGCTACGCCCTTTTTTTTACTTGTGAACCCATAAAAGTTTGAGAAGCATCTTAGAATATATTTCGAAGTGCGTGGATGAAGCCACGCACCTTCATTTAAAAAAGGTTTCGCCCCCCCCCCCCCCGAACGAAATCCTGGATACCCTGGACCGGTGGCTGGTGGCTACATAAGATTTGTAGCACTCAACAGAAAAAAAATCTTAACTTCCTCGGAAAAATTTTTTCCCCATTTGATGAGTGGAAAGTTGTGCATTTTTAACAAACATCGGGCACGAAAAGTACAATTCTTGAATTGAAAATTTTTCTAAATTCTATCTCGAAAATTTCCAACTTGCGCTATTGAAGGACTAGGACATCTACCGTCTTCGCATTACGCTGATGCTACCGGAAGTCCACAAAAACTAAAAAGGTGAGATAGAAGAAATGAGAAAATATTTGATTTAGAAAATGAAAAGTGAAGTGCCGTTAAAGAGTTGCATCTATCTATGATTGCTGCAATGGCTATCCATTGGTATCACTTTTGTTTTTATGTTTTTTTATGGTACCATAGAAACAAAAGTGATACCAATGGATAGCCATTCATCTCTTCGGCATGCGTAGCAGCTTCTTTCTATACCATATCCACATTTATTCACCTTACATGTTTATAGTTCTCTAATTTTCGCTATAATGTCCTTCTCAAGTCTGTGCAGGGTGGCCGGTAGGTATGCGCGTTACAACATGTAATAAATCTTTTTCCTGAAATATCCTTTTATGGCGGCTAGTATGCCTGTAGCTTTTGGACAATCTCTATATTGAGATAAGTAAAAATTGTACACACTGAAGTCTTCTGAAGCAAATGCGACTTCATAATCTGCTTCCTCTTGAAAGGCGCTGCGGTGCGTTTAGTCAGCAACATGTTTATAGTACGGTGTTTCCTTTTGGAGGGGAGAATTTTTGGCTATTAGGGCATTATGTCATTCCTCGGACTGTGCCGTACAAAATCTTAAATCTTAGAACCTATTCAATTGATAATCGGATTATTTCCACGCATTTGCAATGAGTACATTCTTCACATAGCATTTTTCGACGCACCAATTTCAAGATAAGCTGTTGAAGTCGGTATGCATGTGAGGAATCCAGTCTTGTAGGGGTGACACACTAAGTAAGATGCAACTCTTTCTAGCATGCAAAACTTATTTCTACAGAACTTCGAAACGAAAAATGTGATACCCATACTTTTCGGCTACCCTGTGGATCTTGATCAGGAATGACTTAAGCATCTCTTTTTATTGAACACCGGTTCTATCTCTATATTACGTTCTTACGTCATGATACTCTTCGTGGATCAGTTGAATACAATCTTATGTTGCACATCAATTTTCATTGCCATCACATGCTGTGTACGCGAATATTCTTACTGTAACAACAAATAGTAACGATGAAGAAATTAATTCCTGTCTACTAAAGGTTTATGTAATGACCTAATAAGTTGCAGTTTGTAGGAAATGCATATATGTGGTTTACACGTACATAAATACTTAGCTGGGAGTTCGTGTTATCTGAGAAATCTTGCATCACCCTATCTGGAGAACTTTCCGGTCGCGATAGGGACGTCTTCAGGATCGCCTCCGCCTGTTATCCTACTTGATTTCTGTGAGGACCTTCGAAAAATTCCGCAGTCGCTGTATAAGTCGAGTTGTGGAGTCTGATTAGTGACATTTATGTTACTTCACTTTTGGTTCATAAATATACTAAAGGGCACCAAGAAATTGAATCGGAGAATTTGAGATAGTCCTTATCCTTGATGAGTAAGCGTTCAAGCTTTTTAGCAATAACCTGAGTTTGGTTTATTTCTAGTTGATTCGGAGGAAATAACACAGCCACATTTGACGTGCATAAAAATGAGTTCAGGATTCAGCAGTATTTGATGATTCTTTTTTAGGAATAGATGCAAAGGCTTGCCCATACCTTACCCGTGTTACCGGCGTTACCAATCTTACTTGTGCTACTAGTGTTACTCCTGTTACCGGTATTACCAGTGTTGCTCGTGCTACTCACCAGTGACTGTGTTGTTTTCTGGAATGAGACTGTATCCGTGATCTTTTCACTACACTACAGTAATAAAAGTGGTAACACTTGTAACACTAGTAGCCCGAGTGACACGAGTAACACTGGTAACACCGGTAACACAGGTAATAGGGGTAAAGTATTGCCAAAGCCAAAGAGCTTGTCTTTCTACGTTCAAACTGCGGGATAGCGACGCAGTTAAGACAAGTGCCAGTCCTCTTTAAAGTTGAATTGGTACCCTCACTCCGTACAGATTACTATTTATAGGAGTTCGAAAACCAAAAAATGTCTTCCGCATTTATGGTCATACAATTTTCTAATGATCGTTCTTAATTTAATTTTGAATGTCGCATTCTGCGAAGCTAGGCAAACGTTCCATGTGTGCGTCCCAACAGTGCTTGCTAGATATTGTTCTAACCACTTAATTGAATTTCATCTGTTTGGTAGCCAATTAGATTGAGGCTTCTGCATCATTTTATTTATGCCTAAGGCTTGTTACGCGACAGAAACAGTTACTTGCATCTTTGTTCGCAATATTCCTTCCATGTGAGCTTCTCCAATCCCAGAGACTTGCAGCATCGAACATCGAATTCTTCACAGACTACGAACGGTGCTTCGGGGTTCTTTCCTCGGCACTTTCTTATCACTTCCTCAAATAAGCTCTTTTATTCAATGTAAATGAAAGAAGATAAACCCACCTTTAAGTCAATCTTAGCATCTGGATTTTTATCGAAGCTCATTAGGTATGGACAACCTTCGGAGCAAAAGCGCCTATTTTCAGCAGCTTTTTCAGCAGCAGTTTTCCTTGCGCTTTTAACACTACTTAGGTGGAGAAATGCAAGTAGCAGGAGAATGAGCTTCATGATGCAACCCTTCCGTCTGATTGGGTCTTTTATAGCGCTGCTGCTTCGGTACTAAATTGATCAGAAAAATGATGACACAGCAGCTACGCATTCAAGGAACAACATGAGAAAAAGTAGATAATCGCTTGTTATTCTCACAGTGATAATGTGAAGATGGCCACTTACACGATAATGAAATGAAATATCTATTCGGATTCACTAATGCATGTTTCCGCCACTTCTAATTTCGATCGAAGTGTTGCAGAGATAGCTGTGACTAGTTCACGAATTCGCAGGTTTATTAAATGGGTTCTTTTCCGTTATCCGGACCCATTTTTCAAAAGACTCTCATAAAACACCTTCTTTAGTCTAACAATAAGACCGATTTTACATGGACCCTAGAGGACTGCCTCCCCTCCACGTGTTAGGAAATAATTGATACGTTTTAGTTCATTTCGACTTTGTTTCGAAATCATTTCCGGTGAGGTAAAAGAGTATTTGTAACCACCTAAAAGCTATTCAACTGTGTTCTACAGAAGCAAAACTGTTTAGAACTTATAGCAGAAACACCATGATTGCATTAGCAATTATTTAAATGTGGTTTTCTCTTCAGATTTTCCGCCACGCGAATTTAGCCAAGAAAGACTATAAATGATGGCTTGAAATAAAATACCACGCTGCCTCCTGTTTCGCCACTTAGATAATGGACTCCTAGCGCACTTCTCCATTCTGGGCAGGTCTGATCTGTTCATTGATAACAAGATGACGTTATTATTATAACAATGTTCATTTTATGAAATTTTTTAGTGGAAAATGGGCCATCATTAACAAAAAAAAAACAGAATGAACTCACGTCGCTAGGTAGTGCAACACAACTCTTTGTAAGACCTGTTAAACATGTAGATGACATGTCAAATTTTTTGACACGTGGCAGAAGGTTGACACTCCTTCCTGTGAAGCTGGAACCAAATATGATACAAGGAAAGAAGCATCTTCTTTCCTCGTATTCCATCTATATTTTCTTGAAGAAATGGGTTCGGATAACGGAAAAGTACCATTACATGGTGTTTCCCAAGAAAAAACCTCTAAAACTTCCTAATGTGAACATCACTTTATGGAAATCCAACAATCTGCCCATTTTTAGCGCATTTTGCTCCATAAAATAAACTCTGAGAAAGACGAGTATAGCCTAGACTTTGTCTCCTGATATCGCTGCTATGTAACATGACCGAAATATCGTCGATTGACAGAAACTTTGATGAAGATATAGATGAAATAAATTAGCTTAAATTCTGTTGGCAGAACTTTCTTTACAACCTAATACATAATTTTCATTGTGCCAACTCGATCAACTTTTCTTTTTTGAAAATATTCGATATTCCGACCAACACTTTTTATTTCGGAAAATATTCCATATTCCATTATTCGACATTTTTGATTCTGGGAAGTATTCGATATTCGAATGCTCGATGTTTTTCTATTTTCGAAAATATTCGGGTCATTATTTAGTATTTTTGACTTTCGATTACTCGATCACTCGACCTTTTCGAGAAAATTTTCGAATCCAAAGTGTGTAGATGATGGTCGAAGGATCGGATCAAAACACAAATCTGGTCAACACTATAGTTCATCTTCCACGGTAGTCGCGCAAAATTACTTGCGCGACTACCGACTTAATTACTTCAGCTATTAGGTTGTCCCAAAAGCAAACTCCATTTTCAAATAACTTGAGCTGTTTTTTGACAGATTTAGGGTACCATTCGGCAGAGTGCAGCAAGCTCTACAAAAAACGAGCAAAGATCCACCTAAATCGTAACCTAGGTAAAATTTGGAGCCAATCAAAATTTTTCGGCTACCCTGAAAACCGGATCTCCTTCCAGAAAGTTCCTGCGGACTTCCAACTTGGTCTTTATATAGTAGACACATAGTAGTACCCAAAAATGTATCTGGTGGATTTTTTTCGGGGCTTAAAATTGAGAAAAAACGGTGGTCCCAAAGTGAAAATGCCACTTTTTTCGGTTTTTTAAATGTAAAACTTGGTATTTCTCAATCATAAGAGCACAAGCAGGGGTGAAATTTTGAGTTTATACTTAGTAAGGCTTGTAGTATACAATGGCATATATGCGACTGGTTGGGACGGAGTTTGCCCTTTTGGGACTATCTTATTTTTCTCCTTTCTATGCGCGGAAAAATCCAGCAAAGGCATATTTCAGTACTAATATGTGCCTACTGTATAATAACCAAGGTGGACATCCGTAGGGTTTTTCTGCAAAAATCCAATTTTCAGGTGACAAAATTTTTTTCGATTTTGGCTTCGAACTCTACATAGAAGGCGACTTAGGCGAACCCTTGGCGATCATTTTGTAGAGCTTAATCTGCTCTATCGAATGATACTCTAAATATACTCTGACAATAAAAACAGCTTGATTTATTCAAAAAAGGAGTTAACTTTTTGGACAACCTAATAAAGTGTGGTTCATAATTATACGAACACTCCAAATTTTGAAAGTTTTTGGACTTTTTGGAAGAAACTCAAAAAGCCGTTTGTACCACGCGATAGAGCACAGCCGAAAACGGTATACGATCCACAAGAATGGAAATCGATGTCATTCTTAGGAGTGTCTTTGCGCCTAATGCGAATTTTTAGCGGTTCATAATTATACGAACACCTCAAACAACATCTCATTTTTCATTCAAGATTGCAATCATTTGAGTCCAAATTTTTTGTAGAATTACAGTAACAAAGTCTGACATATCTGCTACACATTGAACCCAGTGCAGCACAAAAAGAGGATCGTTACTTTTTTTAGATGGCTCTAAATTTTGGAGTGATTGCGCTCCAAAAACATACGTTCTTCTGTGGTTTACGCACTCTAATCAGCTTGCACTAAGGCTATGAGATAAAATAAGCTCTTTCGATAGGTATTTTGTTTGACGCTTGGAAAATCTATGCGTTTTCGTGCCGTTTTTCAACCAAGTTCCAACCTTACCCTAGAGTTAGCACGATTTCGAGCCTCAAAACTCAGCTTCTCTCTCGCGCAAACATTTGATATGAAGCAGCTGCATTCTTTGCATGATGATGTATCCGTGCGAACGTTTTTGCATTTTTGTAAAACTGATCTTGAAGCTATGGAGCAAAAAACCAAATAAAGTTGTGATTGCAATAGTAAAAACAGTGGTTTTGGTGAAATGACGTCTGCGTAGCCAAAACAAACGCTCAACGCTGCTGATTTTTTCTAGCCAGATACACAGTCTTGTGAACTTCTAAATATTATTTGCTTACTTCATTGTAGGGCTTCTGAAGCTGAGTTTTAAGGCTCGAAATCGTGCTAACTCTGGGGCAAGGTCGGAACTTGGTTGAAAAACGACACGAAAACGCAAAGATTTTCTAAGCGTCAAACGAAATACCTATCGAAAGAGCTTATATTATCTCATAGCTTTGGTAAAAGCTAATTAGAGCGCGTTAAGCACAGAAGAACGGATGTTTTTGGAGTGCAATCACTTCAAAAGCATTTAGAGCCATCTGAAAAAAGTACGATCCTTTTTTTGAGCTGCACTGGGTTCAGTGTGTAACAGATATGTCAGACTTTGTTACTGTAACTCTACAAAAAATTTGGACTCAAATGATTGCAATCTTGAATGAAAAATGAGGTGTTGTTTGAGGTGTTCGTATAGTTATGAACCGCTAAAAATTCGTATTAGGCGCAAAAACACTCCTAAGATTGATATCGATTTCCATTCTTGTAGATCGTATACCGTTTTCGGCTGTGCTCTATCGCGTGGTACCAACGGCTTTTTGAGTTCCTTCCAAAAAGTCCAAAAACTTTCAAAATTTGGGGTGTTCGTATAATTATGAACCGCACTTTATTATACAACCGAGATCATGATTGTGATGAAAATGCTCAAGAGCAAATCTGAGATTTTTGCTCATCTACAATATAACAACACAGAAAGGCGTTTTTGTGCGGGAAAAGTATGATATTCGTGATCATCATGTCAGATAATCCACATTGGCCAAGTTTGAGAGAAATCCACGACTTCAGTCGGGGCCCAATCATGGGGTAGCCAAATAGTTCATGCTGCAAAATGTAGGACACATCAAATGATGAACGTGTACGTGTTATGCGTACAAGAACGAAACAGGATCTTAGCGCAAGTCGTCCACAATTAGCTCAAAATGCGACGGAAAAAGTCAGTCCCCAATGTCCCTCGTGCTACACATAGGGTATCACGTCATTTTTTTTTGCGCGATTTCGCGGTCCAAAACGTGCCAACACGATCTTTTCTGTAGATGAATACCTCTAGCTCAAAATAAACGAATATTTTGAAAGTCGTCTGTTCGTAACCCTGCCACATTCGATGTACCCTCGATATCATCCCATATGTCTTCCCTCAACATGACGTAGATTACGTTTCTTGATGAGGCGCCGCCTCGCCTCGGGCTTGCGCCACGTTGCGTGCGCATTTTCGGCGTGATGTGGCAACAAGAAGAACGTGGAGAAGCCTGCGCCACGTTGTGTTGAGCGCCACGTCGCGCCAAATGATGCGCTCGCAACGTGGCGCGAGCCCGAGGCGAGGCGGCGCCTCATCAAGCCACGTAATCCACGTCATGTTGAGGGAAGACCTATGGGATGATATCGAGGGTACTAATGACAACATCTTCAGTGTTATTCTTCCCACCATCTGTCTTGCCGTCGTCCCCGCTCAACCTTCAGAAATTTCTATTCTGTAGATACTTTAACAAGAAGTACGCGATATTGTGCCATCTATTTTGCACCTTTGAATGTTACATATACATATATACAGGGTGTCCCAGAAAGATGTGCCTACTGTTTGATTGTAAATAACTCTCTTGTAATGAAGTGTTTCAAGAAGCTTTAGGTATGGTTTTGTAAAGCGAGGTTAAACTTATTGCAGTATGGAGGCGAATCATCTATCGCCCTTCATTATGTAGTGGCACGGTACGAACTTCGACAAGAATTTTAGGCCATTGGAGGCTATACTCTGCCTCGGAACAAAACCAAACAAGCCAAATCTCTTATACCACGGTAATTAGAGCCGCTGATTTCCAGTTTGAAATTCCCCTTTTACTGTAATGCTTCTTACCAAAGTTATCCACGGTAAATCATAATAACTTAATTCCCAGCATTTGTCGGATGTAATTACACCGCCAAAAAAGCTGGAAACAGTCGTAAAAATTGTTGGGTGGAATCAGCATGCGCGAAAACCCTAGTACACGTTTTTCAGACTTTTTGAAAAAAATCTTATTAGGTGATGTATTTTACAATAATCCCATATGCTGGAAGTTCTTACCGTAATCCTACAGTAATGAAGAGCGATCGATGATTCGCTCCATACTGTAAATCTAAGTTTAACCTCGCTCTACAAAAAAGTATTCAAAGCTTTTCGAAACACTTCATTACGAGAGAGTTATTTACAATCGAACAGTAGGCACATCTTTTTGGGCCCTGTATGTTGCCATTTTCTCGGAGTCATTGTACTCTCCACGGAATTTTCTAGGTAAGGTAATTATTAATCCACCAACTCGGCCTTGGTTTGCTTGTTCTACTACTTTAAGAGCATTTTTGCTGGCAAACGTAACGACATGAGCACCATCTCCACACATTACAGTTCAACTTTTCTTCCCTATCGCACATGACTTATTCATCTGCTAATACCTTTTTTTGCAATTCACTTAGAGTCATTAGACTTTTCCTGTGCACTGGTTTAGCGACAGTGTACCCACTATCGAAATGTCGTTTATTTGCCGGAATATCTCAAGATCGTTTTGCTGGCAATTTATGGGGCCATGGATACCATTTCTGATCCATTCGCTCAATACCAAACTTGTAGTCATTTAGCGGCCACATACAAGCTGTATCATTGCATTTACTTCCAAAAGATTGGACCCAAACTACATGATAATCTGTTCTTGTGGTTAGTTTATGAAGAAATGTGGTTCTGTTTGTTTATAAGGAACGCAAGAATGCATTGAATAAGATAAAAAAATAAAAATATACGTAAATCCTCCTTCCAAACACTCTAAAAGTGAACGTAGAGCACATCGTCAAGAGCACAATACAATTTTATTGCAACGCATGCATACATACTAATTCCTGCTCTCAACGCAAACAGCATGCCACTTAGAATAGCAATTTGCCGTATACAGAAATTGCTCTTTGAGAGAAGTTCAGATTTCTTGGTAGTTGCTCCGAAGGATCAGTTCACTACAAAGTGTTGCGTTCATGAGAAGTAGTGATCTATTGTACTTCTCATGTTCTTCGGAAATGCTCGCTGCAGCGCTATCAGCAATCAGAAGACGATTTACCATCAGCGTGTGTATGTTTTTCGGAATAACCCCACATATGGTGCGATAGAGTCGCCAGACTCACTAGTACCTTTCGATAAGGACTTAAACCTTCGCGCTTTTCACGTGAACGCTGTTCCAACCCTACGGGTATATATACAGCAAAATTCGAACCATCCGCGTTTGAAATGGTCTCTGCTGATTCAGAAGACCACAAAGGCAGCGTCGCCATCATAGGATGCGGCATCATGGGTACCGGCATTGCTCAGGTAATTTGTAGCTTTTAAATGTAATTTTGAATTTATGCTGACATGTTTTACTGATAATTTATTGGTTTATCTTAAGCAGCAACTAACACAAAATTGCCACTTGTGCAAACTTTCAAGATTCAAGCCGAGAAGTTCGAAGGATTACAAAGAAAAACAACTCACTTCCAACGTATTGCCTTGCAATGCAGAAAATGTGAAGCAACCTATACTCTTTTCTTTGGCCAAATCATTTTTTGAGCCGAATTATTGCTCTTTACAGATACAAGCCATTCTTCTTGTATAAATACTCGCAAACCCTATGCAACTCTTAGATAATAAGTTGATGAATATTTAAAATATACTCAAGCAAAAAATAACAGCAAGGATTGTAATGCAAACATCATCTAGAAATGTTTGTTTGACGACTACATATACTGAGAAAATGCGTTTAGACTTTAGATCATTGGGTAACGCACCATCGTACTTTTCGTCACACCTTTCAAAATAACAAAGCTTACCCAGTTTTCGTACCCAAGTAAATCTGGAAACCATCTTCGTTTGAATGTAGGCTGAATCTAATGTCCATCCGTACGTTGTCTATGAATTTAATCTGCTGTTACCGTACTTCCAATTGAGATGATGGTTAGAAATGCGAGAAGGGTTGTTAAAACCTGCTACTCCAATCTCTCGAATCAATTCTTGAACCTATGGATACACCTGCTAAAGAATTTAGTTGATGTGAACATATTTTAGCGCTTAAATTTTCCCAAAAATGAGCAATAGTCTTCAAAATCGATCATTACAACACCATCTTAGGATGACCATTCATTTCATGATTTCACATCACAGCAATTTAGGTGTGCCTGGCATCCGGCTATAGAGTTCATCTCTATGGCAGAAGTAGCGATTCGTGTGTTAAGGCTAAAGACCAGTTGAGGAAAAACCTTGTCAAGAGCGCAACCAAGAAACGAGGAGAAGATGCTAATACGGTAAGATGCTGGAAAGCTAAAGCAAACTTGCGTTTCTAGACTCTAATTTCTAGATGGATATCCAAAAAGCAGTCGATACCCAAATGGCCCATCTAGACCTCTGCTCCGACATTCGTTCGGCGGTTACCGCTGCCGATTATGTGATTGAAGCTGTAGTCGAGAAGAAATCCGTCAAGGACGATGTCTTCGCTGAAGCACAGCGCTACTGTCCATCGTAAGTAAATCTTAGAAGCTTTCTTTGACATCGTGACTAAATTACCCGTTTGTAGGCATGCGATTCTTATCACGAACACATCTTCAATTAAATTATCTGATATGCTCTCAAGCATTCAAGAACATTCTCGTTTCGCTGGATTGCATTTCTTCAACCCTGTGCCTCTGATGAAACTAGTAGAAGTGGTCAGCACTCCTGAAACTTCTGAGGAGACACAAGCTAGGCTAATGCAATTCTGTCAATCTTTGGGGAAGCGACCTGTTTCTTGCAAGGTATGTTCGAAACTTAAACCGGAAAAAGATATAAAATCTCATTTCTAATCTCGTTACCCTGCTGTTAAGTAAGAATGCCAGAAAACAGAATCAATCTGGCAACATTGCTTCGGTTAAATGACCTTATCTGTATAAAATGAAAACGATAACAAAGTAAGACTCGTGGACAACACTGGTGACAGGCCTCAAAATATGCCTTACCAGGAAATAAAAGATTTTGCACTTCCTGATTTTTGCTTTCCCGCCTACCATGACAATGGAACATGAAACGCTTGTAAATAAGCTGAGAATTTTTTTGGAGTGACTAGTGAACAAGTAATCTAAAGGCGTTAGATTCGCAGGATCGTTCGCTGCGCGAGCCGCGCGGCTTCCCCCAATTTCACCTTTTGAATAGGCACAAACATTCTTTATATATAGAAATATTGTAATTTTTAGGACACTCCCGGTTTTATTGTGAATCGTCTACTTGTGCCTTATCTACTCGATAGTATACGGATGTTAGAACGAGGAGACGCAACTAAGGAAGACATCGATGCAGGTACATGCTTATTTGTTCTCATGTTCCCCCAAGAACCGAACCGGTGCTTCAAATTTTTCAAAAAAAGCAGAAGCATAAACTCCAAAGCCTCAAGAATTGTTCGTCTGTGCAAGTTTATAAAAATCAAATTTTGGCTGACAAGCTCACCTTAGCGCTCAGAGCCGTCCACCTTTTCAGTTCATAAGTATAAAAACTGCACAAAAACTTTGTAATGAAAGCTTGAAGAACAATAATTTTTACTTGAGCTTGAGTTTGGGATAAGACAACTTTAACAATGATTTTTCAGCAATGTGTTATGGCACTTCATGTCCAATGGGTCCCCTCACACTTTGCGATTACGTTGGTCTCGACACGATCGCTAATGTCATGTCAGGTAAGAATCAGAATCACTGATCTTTCATTACCCATAGACCAAACGCAAAATAATTTAGTTTGGCGCGAATCTATGCCTGAGGATGCGCGATTCACTCAAATCCCTCTGCTCGAGAAACTCGTCGCTGAAGGAAAGCTTGGACGAAAGACCAAACAGGGTTTCTATAAATATTGAATCGTACATAATAACTTGTTTATTGTATACTCGATTTACGCATGAAAGATAAAAGCAAGTTTGTTCGATAAATCAACATGACATTTCTACAATGTCTTAAATCTATCTACTTTGACGCACTAAGTGCGTAAGCAGCTTTTATTTGAGTGCGTTTTCCGTTTTGATAAAAAGTGCAATGACAAAATGACCTTACTGGGAGCATAACAGCTGATTTTGGCCTGAGAGGTAGAGATAATTTGCAAGATTGTAAATAGAATATTTTTTGAGACAGTAGAATACAACATTAGGTTCAAATCTCGACGAAGCCTGAAAACCAGGATTTTGTGTTATTCTGTTCAATTTCTACCATACCGAATTGTGAAATTTTCTGCTAACATCTCTTCCGACTTTTCTTCCACTTTAGAATCAGTTTTTTTTTCAGATAATAGACAACCGCCTGTCACGTAGTTGATTTCAATCGGTCGCAGTTATTTTGAATACCGAAATTTGAATAAAAGAACATAAGCAGAAACTAACTGTAGGAAAAGGCTCTGCGAAGTAAAATTGAACTGAACTAAATAAGGAATGAAGTTGGTGCAAGTGAAGCAAGCTCTAGAAGAGAAGCTGAGCTATCGCAGGCTCTCATCAAAAATTTTGGAAATTTACTGAGTGGTTGAAAAAAATTTCTTCAGTGCTGAAGAACTTGCTTGACATCTCTTGGCATACAAAATTATCCTTCTCGGTCATCTTAGCGGTTTCTTAGGAAAAAATCAGGAGAACTGAAATGAAGATAACCGAATTTCGACTTTCAAAGTTATGTGTCCAATAATCGGAAATAAACAGTAAAATATGGCGAGCAAAATTTACAAATAACTGTTTGACTGATATCTCGTGACGTTTAAATTCTCCAGTTCAGTAAGAACGGCGAAATCAGTCGTTTTGTCTTTTTCTCTCGAGCAACCAATAGTTTCTAATTTCTGGCGACCGTTGGTAAAAACCAAAACTCAAATAATCCTCCTCTTTTGCTTTTATGTCCTACAGCTTTCTTTGCGCCACTTAAATGCTACTACAGGGACAATCTGTTACTCTACTCTACAAGATTGTTATCAAGTACACTCTAGATCAATTCTGATCCCATGAATCTAGGTATTTTCTTAGCCTACAAATTTACGAAACACCTGAAGATGGACCTATTGAATGTGAGATGCTGTATCAATTTGATTTGCTGCAGATTAAACTTTCATGTGTGCACCTGACGACCATTTTATAAATAAAGCCTTTGTCGTACTCCGAACCCCTGAACATTCTCCTGCAGTGAAACGAATAGCCTTTCCGTTTTTTCTCCCGCTTTCCCGTTCCCCTCCTCCTCCGCCGTCCATCTGTTACTGTACGCTTCTTTAGTATCTACAAGACATCACATATCCAATGCGCTATGCGATTTTTTTCACACCCCCAGAATGTCGCTAATGATTTCTTACCGAGCTCGGTGACATACGGTAACTGGTACGGTGACCTTAACGAAAGCTCTGCAAGTGGCCGCGCGTAGAGAGATTCAAAAAGCGTTGGCCTGGTGGTACGACCTCCCCCGCTTGGCTGCGGACCAACTGTCTCCTGTAAGGACACAGAAAAAAGCGAAAGCCCGAACGCGGACGCCAAACGAACGCGTGCAGGTCGGAGCAGCTGCGTGGCGGCCCTGTGACCTCGCGCGGGTGCACGGCGTACCAGTTCGTGACGTTCGCGACCGCGGGAACGCCTGTTAATAAGGTAATGAACGCTGAGATAGTGCGCGACTTGAGAGGTGGAAAAGCACGGGTTGCGCAAAGGTCCCTAGCGTCCTATTAGCCCGATCCAGCGCGTATGCAACATTTTTTTTTGTGCTTTTTCAGCTCCGTTTTGCATTTACTTATACTTTTGCGTGGTATTTTTTAGTCTAACTTCATCAAAATCGGAAAAATAGGTGTCTGGACTTTCAACGCTAAGTGATCCAGTAATTAAAATTTTATACCCGGCAATTGAATGTGGCTCTCGCTAAAGAACTTTTTCTCTTTCAAATAGACACTACTCACAGATCAGAGGATGTTACAAAATTTTTCTCTTAAAAAAGTCGCTTGGGCTAAATTGAGGAAGCTGTGGCTTTAAACTACATTAAAAAAGACTTAGAAAAATTGATAATCAATTTGGAAGCTAAATATCACATCACAAACTAAAACTCATAATTACTTCCGTCATAAATTCGGCTTATATGAGTATCTAACGATTTTCATCATAGCCTTTTCTCCCCAAACTAATTCCTCTACCAAAATGTCTACCTCTGTCTGTCTAAAAAATTTTTATTTCTTCATGAACTTCTTTAAAGATCACAGACTAATAGATCTACTGTTTTGGTCAAAGTTTAATGGAGCGCCCGCAATTATTCTGTTTAATTACTTTCAAACACTGTTTTTGTAGGCCAAGTTAATGGTCTCTAATCTTTCAAGTTCCTTTCACTAAATAACAGTACATGCAAAAACTTCCTAAGAAAGATGTTCGGAGGAAATCATAGTTTCTTGTTTTCTGCATGCATTAGCACTTTGCCTTGTTCGCCTAACCCACAGCGCGAAGGTGAATGTCTAGACTTGGTTGTGATGCGATTTTGCCGAACACCCCATTTTCCCATATAAGGTCTCTTACAAAAAACAGGAAAGCGATTGTGATGTACTTATTTTGCCATTTAAGTATAATGGAGCGATCAAAGACCCTAGTGGTCGTTGTTAGTCGCTAAGAGCAAAAGTCTAAATAAACTAAATGAAAACGGTGATGGTTTGCAAGGCAGGACAATTTATTTTTATAAATGTGGATGCCACCATTATTCTAAAGAAGCAAGGGCCAGATCTTTGGATTTTTTTAATAAATGCAAAGGTCATACCTTTATCCTATGATATTTTTATCAAGAGAAGAAGAGTAACAAAAAGCAAGGAGTTTAGCACATTCAATATAGCTAGCAGTCCTCGTAAAATCATGCATGCAGTGCTAATTTCAAATAAATTTTCATTATAGTTTCTGCAGGCAGTTCCATGAAGATCGCTCAGATAGGGGCAAAGTCTTCTACAGATTTAATAGACTAGTCTTACTAATATATTGAACAATCTATGCAGGACCTTTCTGCATCTTATTTCAGAGTGGAAATGTAAAAAGTCTGGGGATTTTCAGCATTTATTTCTACTTACTATAGAGATTTTCTATCTTGTTACTTCGGCACAAGACTTCTAGGATTCGAATAAATTGGCTACTCTTGATGGTCCCGTCACGAATATGCTTGCAGTCGTATCTATATCTAGTTAGGTACAAAGTTTCTTTCTGAATCTGGTTTCGAACTTGCTCCCCCACGTTCTGCTATCGTATCACCGTTCTTTGCTTGTGCTTCGTGTCTCAAACAGCAATGATCATAGACAGCGCAGCAATGGGGGAAACCGGGCTCTCAGCTGCGACCACCGCTAATTCACCGAAGCAAAAACACCAAAAATCGCCAAGTTTCATGTTCTTTGCACGAAAATGACGTGCATGCCGAAATGACGTATGTAATAACATCTACGGACTAAATGGCAAACCAGACCGTCGATCCTGTCCATATTTGCTTTTATTATGCCGTCTGGTTTATGAATCAAAGTCACTGAAAACCAATTAGAATACTCAAAATCACTTAAAATCGTGATCTTGCTATAAGAAAAAGCAAGCAATAATGCAGCAAATGAAAGGGAAGTACAGACTGCCTTGAGCTTGTACAGAATTTTCGAAGTTATAAATTTAAGTTCTAAGGTCTATCCGGAATGGTACTCATTATTTAGCATAAGTGACCAGCTTTCCAAGATTATGGAGTCTTGTGACGGTGATATTTAGCCACAAATTTCATGTACAAGCTATCGAGCCAAAGATTTGTTTCCGTGATTCTAGCCCGTTTTTGAAAAATTCCTAAAAGCTATAGCTTAGTTAAGTTAGCGCAACATAAAAGCTCAAAAATTCATATACCATATTTATGAACAAAAAAATATTATGGATCCAACTTTTATTGTTTTTTTCATTTTGATGCACAGTGAAGATTCACTGCTACAACAAAAACTTTACACTACAAATTTTTGAGATTTGAGTGAACCTAATGATCTCTATACCAGTATGATTTCGATGCAACTCTTTTTTTCTGTTCACTTTATTTCTTCTCTCTTCGTCAATGTCATTTTCGTTTGAATGAAAATTTTTTGTAAAAGTCTATGCCACGGAGAATCTGTGCTGAAACTTTAGAAAATGAAAGCCACTTATCCTTACCAAATCTCGGAGTTAATCAGATTTGCTTAGTACAAACCGACGGAAAGCATTCGCACACATGCGCATCCTTGTGGTTATTTTTGGAAGCATCTGGTCGCCAACAAACAAATGAAAGCGCTGGAGAAGAAAAGAAGTGCAAATCGAGCAGATTATGTATACATCATCTGCTTCACCACGTTCTATGCGTAAACGACAAAGAGTAAAATCTGATTATTTGGATGAAATAATTCTAGACCATTTATCTGCTTGAATTTATCAAGATTTTGCCTTTCGAAGTGGGAAAGGGTCACTGAAAGCAAAATTACCGAATTTCTGACTTTATTTGATTTCGTACTGCAAATTCTAAAAATCCAGGAAGATTCGCTCATGTAAAGGTAAAATTTCACCCTCCTTTTAAATTTAACAATTGGGAGAAAAATGCTTATAACGGTAATCTCAGCTGTGCAAAAACCAAACTTTTTTCTTTAACGACCAGCTTTGCAGTTCACAGCTTGTATGTATTTATTTCATACACTTCTTAAAACTTTCACATTCCCCTCCCCTTAAACTAATTAACTCTTACACAAGGATGTTGCAAAAGTTTTGTCTGATTTGCAGATTTTCTAGGATAGAATGTCATAACTTTTTATCTCTAAATGAATATTTTTAAACTGTTTGAAATTTGCTGCGCTGAGAGAGTTGCCGATAAAAATGAACTTCTCATGTAAGAAAGTCACCTAAGTTAGTGCGGAAATTCCAACAGTCCGATTTGCAAATTTTCTA